TTAGTCTGTTCCCGACTGGAAGGCCCCTTTTGTACTGTGCGATGGCGAGATTGGTGGGGCAGTCCCCAATCTGGTTGAAGGTCTCCCAGTAGCGGCTATTGTAGGATTTTAATGACTCTTTTTCGCCCATGTCGATGGAGAGCAGTTGATCAATTTCCACCGGGGTTTTGGTGTTCGTTCTGAACCTTGTTACGAACGCCTCCGCCAATTGCGCTCAGGAGGCTATGTTGCCTTCTGGAAGTTTTTTGAACCAAGTCAAGCCTAGGTCACCAAGGCTTGATGGGAAGAGAATGCACATCAAAGCCTCGTTTCGTCGATATACCGGCACAACCTGGCAAAAGTGGCTTAGGTGCATGTAAGGGTCTGTTTTCCCTTCGTACGTGGTAAATTTAGGCTGGATGAAGCCTGAGGGTAATGATGCGTTCTCTATCGCCGGAACGAATGGCGAGCTATGTAGTCTTGCCAACGCTTTATCTGTTGGTTCGTAGGCAAGGTGTGGTACTGGCATTCCAATCTCGATGCTTCCATGCGTCCGAGGAGCTAACCGCCGAAGGGCTGAAACTCTGTGCGGGTCGCGTGCCCTAGCATCTTCCTTCTGTCGCGCCCTTTCTTCAAGCACAATCCGTAGGTCAGACGATCTAGGTAACTCTGTTTGCCTGGATGATGTATGGTGCGTGTGTGAGGGCCGATAGGTACTTCCCTCTGTGTAAGACCTTAATGATCTTGTTCTCTTAGACTTGGAGTAACGAGTTCTGGAAGTCCTTGATTGAGTGTCGCTCGTCCTGAGGCTTCTACTCTGTGCTTGCGATGTCGTGGTATGCCTACTACAATCTTCTGAGTGGCGAGGAGGCGCATTGCCTTTGCGCCCCTCTCCTGTCGCCATCTATTTTTCCTTGATCTGGCGCTTCATGGCCTCCATGTCCGCCGCCATCTTCCTTATTAATTCATCTTGCTCCTTCACGCGGTCCTCCAGAACTTGAGGATCAATCCTTCACCTTTGTCTGTCAGGACTTCGTGAACGAGAGTGATGGGGGCTGTTAGTCCGCCTCCTCCCTCTTGTATCCCTCCTGGGATTTTGTCGCTGAGATAACATAGCCATGCTAAATGGGCCAAAACGACTGAACTCTAGTTAGCTCGGCTCTTTCTTCACAGCTTGTACCCCGGTTTCACCTATTGAGACCGAGCTAACCGTAGCAAGCTTGGACCGGGCTAACCAAAGCTAGGCTTACCGTGCGAAGTCACCGTACCTCAGCTCCGAATGGCGTGGCCGAACTAACTTCTTCTAATCGCGGTGACCGAGCTAACCGTTGCTCTTTTTAGGACCAGATTAATTACCAAGCCTTTTTACTTAGTCTGGCGGCAAGAGCCTTACTTTGGACCGAGCTAACACTTGACCGTGGCCCATCTCCCAAGCCTCTTCATTACGGCCCAAAGAACAGCCCATTGCCCAGCTCGGCCCAATTTATATATAAATTACCCTCTCAGGAAGTATGCAAAACGCCAAGTGTGAAATTACATTACTACCTTTTTCGGTCCAACAAGCAACTAAATGATCCAAAAAGGATCAAAAAGTAAATTTCTTAAGTTGGGTAAGGGTATTGTGGTCATTTTAATATAATGTGACACCATAAACAAATATGAAACAAAAAAATCGAAAGTCAATTTTTTGTCAATTTTTCAAATCACTTTTCAAAAAAATTAAAAAGTTAGGTAAAAAGTCAAAAGTTAACTTTTTACTAACTTTTCAAAACACCCTTTAATCACAAAAAGATAAAATAGATTTTTTAACTTAATAAGATAAAATATCACATACAACCTATAATCATTACATTATTTTTTTCATAAAAAATTAAAAAATCTATCACAAATAAAATTTTTTAATTTCAAATTAAAATAATAAAAAAATTAAAAAGGCAAAAAACTAACTGACTCGCTAAACGAACTCATTTTAGAGTGCCTAGTTGACGGTAAAAAGAACAAAATATTCTTTAGAAGGCATCTTTCTTCATTTATCAAAGTTTCTTAACTGTTTTTTACTCCAAGTCATACTTCGGCCACGTGAGTTAATTACTTCACATGTGCACTTTTCAAATCACGATGACCTACCTCCTCCATTTCGTTATTTATCTTTATAATTTCATATTCAAGTTCAGCATCTATCCAATTTAACCTGACCTAACTATCCCAGTGTAAGTACAATTAGATGATGCCTTTGGAACTTATCCGACGCCCAATTGCTATCCCAATCCACTCTAACCTCAGCTAAATTAGTTATGTTTCAAAACTTACCCATGTTTGTATTTAGACCTCGTTTGGAAATATGTTATTTTAGTAACTTTTTAACTAAAATATGAGGGAAAAAAAGTAGTTTATTTGGGATAACTTTTTGACTTTTTACGAAAAGATGTGCAAAAAGTAGAGAGAAAATGAAAATTTTGACTTTTTTGTATAAATTGTTGATTTTTTTATTTTTTTAATAATTTTTTGACTTTTAGGCTAAAACAGTCACTTGTCAAACGAGGCCTTAGTGGTGTTTTGGAAAGATAAGTAAAAAATTAATTTTTTGATTTTTTTTTTAAGTAACTTTTTGACTTTTTTAGTATAAAAAAGTAGATATGTGATGCAATTCAAAAAAATTCAAAATTCAAAAAATTAACTTTTTATCAACTTGTTAATGGATCCCTTATACGATTTGACGTGATGTGATTATCTTAAAACAATTAAGACTTGGTTTGGCAAAACCTAAAAAAGTTAAAAAATTAAAAAGTCACTATCATATTTAAGTCACATCACCTCTCTACCACATCACTTCAAACCCAACCCATACTCAACCCATATTTCATAAAAAGTCAAAAAGTGCACTTATTTAGTTTATCCCAAACAACCCCTAAATCCAATTCAGTACAACAAGACATGACCTAATTTTGTGCTTAAAGAGCATCTCTAACGGTGAACTATTTTTTTCATCAAATCTAATGGGAAAAAAAAATGCTATTTCTTCAATTTGATACAAGTTATTCCAACGGTGAATACTATTGCTTGCATCAAATGCCTGGGGACGTCCGCTGGGATGACTGACCAGACGACCGGTTACGCCACTGAATTTTTTTTCCCCCCCTTTCATTTTTGTTCCGATTTTGTTTCCCTTCAAGAGCTTCCCTAAGCTTGTGCTTTTGCAATTTCCACATAAAATGATGGGTTTCTCTTGATTTCTTCTATTGAATAGTTAGACCCATCTCTTTTTCTGGTCTTCCTGTCCATGATCAGAGTAGCATAGTGAGAAATTGGCTTCCATAGTGAAAGATGCATTGAAAGACCCATCTATTCTTCTGCTCTTCTCAATTCTCACTGATCTTTAACCAGATCAAATAGAAACCCTAGATTTGACTACCTTGAAAATCCAGTAACTGAGGATTCAAGCTAGATTAAGACAACAAATTTGGAATTAATCCAGAAATGTAAGAAGAAAAAAAGTAAAAAAAAAATTGAAGTACCTGAGAGTAGTCAAGCCCATTTAATGGATTTTAATGGCAAAGCTCGTGATGAGGTCCAAGCACAACCACCAAGTGCGGAATTGTCAACTGAAAAATTGGCTTCGCCAACACTTGAATATGCACAACAATCAACTGAGAAAACAGAGGTTCACCCATCTTAGACCATCTCCAACGGTTCACCAAAACTGATATCAAATTCAAATTTTGATGAAAAAACTATTGTTCACTGCTCCAACGGTTGCACCAAATGAATATCAGATTGAGATTTCATCAAAAAATTTATCAAACTGACGACCAAATACTGATTTCACCAAAACACTGTTGGTGACCGTTGGAGGGAGACCAACCGGTTGCCCAGCCGGTTGACCAACCGGTCGACCAGTAAAAGATTCAAACAGTTCAGGAAAAAAGTTCAAACCGTAAAAAAAAAAAAAAAATTTTTGCCTAACCGGTCAACCGGCCGGTCGACCACCCGGTCGTCCCGAAAAAAGTTCAGAAAGTTCAAAAAAAAGTTCAGACAATTCGCCAAAAAAAAAAAAAAATTTTTTTTTTTGCCTAACTAGTCAACCGGCCGGTCGACCACCCGGTTGTCCCAGGATAGATTTGGTGAAAGGTGAACCGTTGGAATGAGTGGTATCAAATTTGGTGAAATGGGTCATTTTTGACTCAGATTTAGTGAAAAATTTGAGTCACCGTTGGAGATGCTCTTATTGTGTCAATTTTGTAGTTGAACAAGATTTCATTCTCAAGCTTAAGGGGTCATTTGGGGGGTCGATCGGGTGATCGACCTCCTAATGTAAAATATGTACAAATTTTTGCGAAAGGTGGTCATTTGGTAGGTCATCCGGTAGTGAAAATACAACTTTAATTAACAATGTTTTGGTGAATGACCCACAACATCCTCAGTTTGGTGAAAAATTTGAGTCATTTTCAATTTGATATCATTTTGATGAAACCATTGGAGATAAAAAAAGCTATCATTTTTCACCAAATTCAAATTTTATGATGAATCTGATGAACCATTAAAGATGGTCTAACAAAATCTATATTTGTTCGGTGTAGGCCAATTTATAGGAGAAGTGACAAATATATATATATACATATATAGGTAGAAAAGAAGAAAAAGAACCGAAAAAAAGAACCGTCTTAATAATAGATATACATGTATAAATGTAATTTTAATAATTAAAGAAGGAATTGATAAAAATAAAAAATAAAAAAAAGAGCACTTATGATTCATTTAGAAATTTGTTTTTTTTAAAATATTTTATCGATTTTTTATAAAAACATCTGTAAAAAACAAAAATATTGTGTTAATTTTTTTAATTATTTTTTTTGATTTTTTTAAGCGAATTGTCAAACATTCCCCCAATTATCTCTCATCGACCCGATCCGGCTGATCCACGAAATGGATCCAATTACGACCCGACCCACTAACTGCATGCCACCATTCCTTCCTTCTTCCTCACGTCACAAGACTGCCGTGTCTCTGTGCTCTCTCTCTCTCTAAAACAGTAAAACCTCTGTTTTCTGACTCCGTCATCACCAAAAATCAACCGGTCTCTCGCATTTTCAGGACTACTCAGATCCGAAAATCTCTCTATCTATGCTTTCTCTTTCTGGATAGGTTTGTTTTTCAAACCCCTCATTTCGATTTTTTTGAAATTCTGTTATGCTTTATCTTTCGCTCGTCCATCATCCATCGTTGGATTCCAATTCAATCAATGGCTTTAACCAATTGTGTGTAGAAAATTCTCGCATTTTCTCTCTGAATTCAGTTGGTTATAGACTATATTCTCGATTTTCTATCAATGTGCTTTTTTTACTTTGGTTAACCTCGATCTCGGTTGGTTGTGGATTCGTGTCCCATGAGCACATTATTGCGATTTGTTTATGCAGAATTGGGTTTTGTTTATGTGGTTTGAATTTCAATCTTTATTGTTTTTTATTGGTGCATTTAGAAAGTGAGGCTTGAATTCGTTGACTCCAGAACAAATTCGAGTGATCAAGACTTGGGTTATCAAATTTAACAATCACTAATTTGAGAAATGGCATTTGTTACAGAGGAACCACACATTTAAAATGCATGTTGGATGGTACACTGATTAGAAGTTGCTTGTGGATTCGTGTTTCATGAGCACATTATTGGGATTTCTTTATGTGGAATTGGGTTTTGTTTATGTGGTTTGAATTTCAATCTTTATTGTTTTTTATTGGTGCATTTTGAAAGTGAGGCTTGAGTTCGTTGATTTGAGAAGAAATTTGAGTGATCAAGACTTGGGTCATAACTCCAACAATCACCAATTTGAGAAATGCCATTTTCGATTCAGGCATCTAAAATGCAGGTTGGACACCATTTAGGATTGATGGTTACGTTGAAAAAAAAAATAGTAAATGCACTTCATTAGTCTGAGTATATGGGTGTTTGATGGGAATGTTGATAAAATCACAAGCTTAATACTGCATGAGTTGCAGTCAACTAGACTGTGTTTTGTTTTAGAAATAGAAAACGATTGTACATTTTTCTATATTGGAACAGAAGACTGTAAAGTTGGATCACCATGGGTTGCATTTGCTCAAAGGGAATTTCTGCAAGTGAGTATGGTGAGAACCATGTGAGGGATAAAGAATCCAAAAATTCTTCAAAGCGGCTTGCTGCATCCTCAAGAAGAGATGAAGTTACAGTTGAGGTTGATAATGGTGGTAATGATGCAACCTCGGGGCTTATATCGACAGGACCCACTGATGATGAGAATGCGGGCTCCACCCCACCTGCTTGGAATGAGGGGAAGAAGGGTATGGTTGTTGTGAAGCCTGCAAAGTTCCATAGTGAAAGATGTGCGACACCAAATGTTGGTATGAGCAATGGACAACCCCAGATGTCTAGTGTTTTTAGCATTAGTAGTGGGCCTAGTGCCATTGCTGGACCACAAGATGCTACTGGATGGCCATCTTGGTTGACTGCAGTAGCAGGGGAAGCTATCAAAGGGTGGGTACCTCGAAAGGCTGACTCATTTGAGAAATTGGACAAGGTTAAGCTCAAATCTTTCCACTCTATCTCCTGAATTTACCTGCATACATTGCTTGCATTGTCATATTCACATATGTTGGTGCACTTAGTAGTTTTGATGTTCTTAATTGTCTCCCTTTCTATTGGTAGGAAATATTATCCTTTTTTTCATATTCATTATTACACTTGCCATTTCGTTTTCCTTCTCTACTTCCACAATGATGGAATTTCTTTGCCACACCTCCAAATAATTCATGGGTTTCACATTTACTTTGTTGGTGTTCAGTATTCAAGTCTTATTTATTCTGGTTTATTTTTTGTTGGTTTAAGGTTGTGTATTCAGGTCTAGAATCAGTTAAAAACACTTCTATTTTTTACTCAAGGTTCACTGTAGTGTACATTTTTAGTTGTGTGAAATATATCCCAGTCAATCTTTGATGCTTTTTACACTTTTTTTTGTTTAAACTGATTTTTTGGTCACAAGGTATTGCATTTGCTGGACAAATGTAAAAATGATATTTATAGAAACCAATACCATGAATATTTTTTAACTCATGTAATTTTCTTTGTTATTTGCATAATTAAATCTTTAGGCTTCTAATGAAAGGTGTGTTTTTGTGGTATAACAAAACAAGCTATTAGATGTCATTTCCTTTCTCGTAAATAAATAAATAAATAATTGTGAGTGTCCACTAGTAAAGTGTTTTGAATGGTTTGGCGTTCTATATTTGGAATCATGTCACCTATGAAAACTGTCTTGCAAGTGGAGAGAACCCAAGATACAGATTCACATACCCCAATCCTAGTCTTTTCCCTTTTGGCGGACATACCGAAAACCTAGCCCTTTCCCTTTTGACTAAACCGTCTCTTGCAAATGGTGAGAAGAACCCAAGAGACTTATATTGACATACCGAAAACCTAGCCCTTTCCCTTTTGGCGGCTTTGAGAAGAAATCAAGAGACTTACATTGACATACCCAAAACCTAGCCCTTTCCCTTTTGGCGGTTTCACTCACCTATCAGTATCACCTTAGTAGGTGTCTTAATGCAGCCTATAAATCGTCTAGCCCTTTCCCTTTTGGCGGCTTCACTCACCTATCAGTATCACCTTTTAGAGGTATCTTAATGCAGCCTATATATGGTCTCCTCTGCTGCTTGAACCTCAAAGGCGCAGCCCATCCGATCCCATAATGGCATAGGTTGCGTCAGATCCCATACTGATGTGGTGGCTGCTTTGATACCAAATGATACGAACCTCTTGGGAAGAAGTCACTCTTGAAAACCAGTTTGTAAGGGGAGGGTGACCAATACACATATTCACAAAACAACAGTGTTGGGACCCCAGTGGGGGTGACCCCAAGCACCTCCACCTCTACGTGGGGCTCTGTGATGACAAGACAACAATACAAAAAAAATAAAAAATAAAAAAATTTAGCCAATGAATGCTGGGGTCACCCCACTGGGAGCCTCAGTCATTTTTCTTCACAAAATATGAGATCGTAACAAAATGTAGCACATAGAATGTCTTAGTTGCTATAAAGTAACTATTACTTTATTTAGGTGGTCCCCTAGCTATGCAAATATAGATCTCCATTTATTCAAATTGTAAATACTAAGGCCATACCAAGAATTTCTTACTAAATTTTCAAAAGTCCACTTCGGTTTGTTGTGAATAACTGGGCCTACTGGACATGCACACTTAAATAGAATAATAAGGTTTGTTGATTTTTGTTCAAACGCATTGTTATTTGAAAGCATTGGTTCATCTCCATGAAGTGATGTGGAAATGTTTTTATCCAATTCGACTTCTGTTGAGAACACATGTAGCGTTCTATGAGTATATTGAATCTTTTGCAGGACTGCATGGCCTTGGCAAACAGGAACAACTGCGATATAGTCCAATAATTTAATATTTTTGCAAATTAAACTTTATGAATTACTTCTTTATTATTTTTTTGAGAAACCAACTTCGCACATGGTGAATTTTATATTTCTTAGTTAATAATTAATAGTTTTTTCTTTTTTCAAACCCTTTTTCTGATATTAGTTATTACAATTGGAAGACATATTTATAAATCATATGTGCATGTAACTTAAATTATTGGTATCATTAATTTATTCGTAATAAAAATAAAAATAAAAATCAAAGAAAGAAATTGGGAACTGTATGTAGCTTCGTTTAGATGCGATACCTAGTTCTTTCTGTGAAATAGGTTGGAAATACTTATCCATGACCTACATCTATGCTGAAAATACATCCTTGTTAGCAGGTGCTTTCACTATTAATCAAGTAGAAAACTTCATATTTAGGCCTCGTTTGGCAAGAGGCTATTTTAGTCAATTAGTCAAAAAATTACTAAATTAGCCAAAAAGCCAACAACCCATACCAAAAAGTCAAAGATTCTCTTTTCTCTCTACTTTTTGCACATCTTTTCGTAATTAGCCAAAAAGTCATCCCAAACATATAAGTTTTTTTTACCTACCTTTTTAGCCAAATAGCCAAAAAGTTACTAAATTAGCCTGTTCCCAAACGAGGCCTAGTTAGTACTTAGGCCTAGTTTGGGAAGACTAAATAAGTACATTTTTTGATTTTTTTTGTATTATGTGTAGAAAAAGTAGAGAGAAGATGTTGATTGATGTGACCTAAAAAAGATGAAAAGATGAAATAAGTGCACTTTTTCCTTTGTAGCCAAACTTGGCCTTAGTACTATTAACCAACACTTTTTTTACGTCTTCCAGAACTCTTAGGCGTGTTTGTTTTCAGAAATAAAATAGAGGGGATTGATGGTGATAGGATTAATAGTGGGGGGATTGTTAGTGAAGGGATCAAGTAAAATTGTATTTGTTTTGATGATAGTTGTTAGTGTAGGGGTTGTCAAATTATTTTTATATAAAATAAATATAAAATAATTAAAAAAATACAAAAAAATTAAACATTAATGTTTTAAAAAAATACCCAACATGTAAAAAATTTTCAAAAAATAAAAATAAAATAAAAAATTTCCAGAAAAAAATAAAACAAATAAAATAATGATTTTTACTTAACAAAAAATACAAAAAATTAAACATTAATGTTCAAAAAAAATGCCCAACATGTAAAAAAATAAATAAATAAAAATAAAAAATTTCTAATCCGTCAGACTATTTTTCTAATATCAAGTCCTGGAGGCCCGTCCAAATTCCCTTGGGGAGGCCCATCCTAATCCGGAGCATACTATCAATCTCCTCCCCATCTCTCAAAACAAACACAATATTAATGGGTCTCATCTCATTATCAATCCCAATTCCCCTTCTAATTCTCTAAACAAACGGGGCCTTAGTTTTTACAAGGTCAACTGTAGTTATTGTATGTTTTGTATTGTTGTTGATAAATTTATTGTATGTTTTTGAAATACTTAACAAGTGAGAATTAGGGAATAAGTTTCAAAGTGAAAAGCCCTCTTTGCAAAATTGCTAAACTTCTACTTGTTCACAATTCAAATATACCAAGCAATGTCATTTTAGCTTATTATTTCTTGTTCTTAAATTTCTGTTGTTAATTTCAACTGTGCCAATGATGCAGATTGGACAAGGGACTTACAGCAGTGTGTACAGAGCCCGTGATTTTGAGACTGGCAAAATTGTTGCATTAAAGAAGGTCCGTTTTGTCAACATGGACCCAGAAAGTGTCCGTTTTATGGCAAGGGAAATTCTTATTCTGCGTTGTCTTAATCACCCAAATGTTATGAAGCTCGAGGGTCTAGTCATTTCGAAGGTGTCAGGCAATTTATGCCTTGTATTTGAATATATGGAGCATGATCTTGCTGGACTTATAGCATCACCCACAATCAAGTTTTCTGAACCACAGGTATGTGCTCTTCCCTTCCGTCTGGGGTGACCATTAGTAAAGGATCTGCCAGTGATGTGACGGGAAATACAGAAAATTTTCTGATACGGAGCTATTTGTCTACTTAGTTGCCTAATGAAAAATAATAGACCTCCATAAGGTGTTTATTAACTTAGACAAAAAACAACACATGATTGGGTTTCTAGAGAGATAATGTGGAGAGTTTTGGAAAGAAGAGTACTAGTTAGGTATATATGAAAGACGTGTACTGGAGAGTTTCGTTTTTCCGTGTTAATGTTCTTTTAAATTCTATGTTGTCCATGTAGTGGTTTCAGAAGTTCTTTCATATTAGTTCCAAAGGGTAGCCACTGTTAAGGGTCTAATTATTGCCTGTAGCCATCTTAAATATTAACTATCAAACAGTTGCTATTTAATTAAGGTATTGTTTTGTCCAATGCCTTAGTTCTCAAAAAGGATTTAGAAAAATGTCGACTCATGTTGTGGGCAGAGCACACGTAATTCATTAAGATTAAAATATAAAGTCGATGAAGTGCAGGAGAATGAATTTCTTCTAGTATCTTCGGGTTTCTTTTCATCTGGAAGATAGGAGGGTGTCTCTACATATATTCAGGCATGCTGTCTATGTTATGCATTACCTCATGATGCATACCTTCTCCAAAAGCATCAAGTCATTTCTTTTTCTACCCCATATTACCCTTGAAAGTCAACTTATAACATCTATTTCTGCACCAATATCCTCATATTGGGATTTCATGTGATGGAACTGCAGATCAAATGTTACATGCAACAATTGTTTCGTGGACTTGAGCACTGCCACAGTCGTGGTGTCCTGCACCGTGACATCAAGGGCTCAAATATTCTGATTGACAACAATGGAAATCTCAAGATTGGTGATTTTGGGCTGGCGACCTTTTTTCACTCCAATCCAGAGCAACCTCTAACAAGCCGTGTAGTAACTTTGTGGTATAGACCTCCTGAGCTTTTGCTTGGTGCTACAGATTACGGAGTTGCTGTTGATTTGTGGAGTGCTGGTTGCATCCTTGCAGAACTGTATGCCCGGAAGCCAATCATGCCTGGAAGAACAGAGGTACTTACCCTGTTTGAAAGGTTTAATTGCTGGATCATAATGGCTGAACATGGGAAATGTGTATAGTCTTGAAATTTTTTTAATACTTCTGTAGACGAGCAGTCTTTTTTATGATAAAAACATAAGAGTAAACAACATAAGGAAATATATAGACCATCTGGGCTCATCTTTTAAAAGTTTGTCATTTGATCATGTAAGTTAGACATCGGTTTAATGTGGCAATTTGCACGCTACTATTCTTGTACCGCAGGGAGGCTTAATTTTCAGATTTTTGCGTGAGATTTTGTTTAATATTTTCTATGGTATGTATAACAAAATATTTGGATTGGGGTGCTTTAAATGAGCTGGATTTGATTGGTCAATGAGATGCTCTCCTTGTATCATTTGTAGGTGGAACAACTGCATAGAATATTCAAACTTTGTGGCTCCCCATCTGATGAATATTGGGAAAAAACAAAATTGTCTCATGCAACCATCTTTAAACCTCAACATCAATACAAGCGGTGTGTTGCCGAGACATTCAAGGACCTTCCTTCTTCAGCTTTAGCTCTTTTGGATGTCCTCCTTCAAGTTGAACCTGAGGGCCGGGGATCGGCTTCTTCTGCACTTCATAGTGAGGTAAAGTCAGTTTTTGGGCGGTATATTTTTCCCTGTTGCATTTTCTTTAGGTATTTCAAGTTTTAGTCATACTCATGGGTTCATACTTATATTTATTTTTAATTTATAGTTTTGCACAAGAACCACAAACTCGGAAGCTGTAAACAATAACATCACCATCTACAATCCCTTTACCAAAAATGCCCTTAATGTTTTCTAAAACTGGTTTGTATTTGGGAATTTTACATCCAACTTTCAAAAATGGTTTGCCTGCTTATGAAAATTAGTTGAGAAACTGTTAGAACTGATTGGAAGACTGTTGGTTGTATGGTTCTGTACAAAACAACAGGGCTTGAAAACTGGCGTGTATTCGAATTATAGGGGATGGGAGTGCCTTTATGCTCAATGTTTTTGTTACATTCATATTCTTTAGATACTTATTTCAGATTTGGGTTATTTGCACTTCTTGAATATGGTTTGCTTTTGCTGATTTCTGTTCCCCTCACCCCCGCCCCACCGGCCACCGCCACCCAGTTCTTCACCTCAAACCCTCTTCCCTGTGATCCATCAAGTTTGCCCAAGTACCCACCTAGCAAGGAGTTAAATGTCAAGCTTCGAGACAAGCAAGCAAGAAGGTATGCAGTCACCGCTTATTGTGTAACTAAATATCGACAGCATTTCCGTACCCACTCTTTTCCGAGTTTGGTTGCAGCCCATTTTGAAAGTTGAAAAGAAAGGAAACCTTTCTTATAGATCTGTTGCATGTGCTTAATTTGCATACCCGTGAAAATGTAATTGTGGGAATGCCATATCTTCACCTGAAAAGGGAGAACTCTTGTTTGGAATGCTCTTGATATCGTTCTTGTAAAATGGATATTATACACTTTATTTACAGCACACATAATGGTCCCTCTTTATGCCAGGCAAAGAGTAGCTGCTGGTGAAGGGCATGCACATGATTCTAACAGAAAAGGCTCCGGAGAATCTAAGGGAATGCCAGCATCAGATGCTAATGCAGAGTCGCAGGAGTTCATATATGTATTTCATGTCCTATCTATACTTTTTATCTATGAAGCACGGACTCCTCTTTGGAGGTCACGTACAAGTGTCAGACACGGACACACTACGAATTCGCTGGTGACACTTGGGATACGTTAGGACACGCTGCCCCATTTTAAAGTTTTTTTTCCATCAGAATAGCATATCCAAAGTTGATGAATTTGATGAGATTATTTCATATTAAAAAAATATTATATAATAAATACATAAAATTATATATTTTGCACGTGTATCTGGCAAGTTGTGTCCAGCATTTTTTGAAAATTTATGTGTCCATGTGTCCATTTAGTGTCACATGTCCGGGCTTCTTAGCTTTTTATGTATATGTGTAGACTGAGCAAGTTATGCGGTAACTTCTTCTTCTTCTTCCTCTTCTTCTTCTTCTTCTTCTTCTCTCTCTCTCTCTCTCTTTTCTTTTTTTTTTTGAAGCGACAAGGGCAGTCAAACACTAAATGCAACAGTCAACAATACAATCGTGAAGATTTCGGTGGTTCTGGCTTCCCTATGGAGCCTTCTAGAGGAATGCCACAAGATGGTCTCTTCCATTCTGACCAACTGATTCAACCCAGTGCTTTTGGATCTTCAGTAAATGAAGGTGAATCCCTCTTGGGTTCTCAACGACAATTTTCTTCTTCAAAGAACAGTCCAATGTTGAGGACCGAGAAATCTTTTGGGCCCGAGGGATTCGCTCATTTCTCGTTGTTTTCCAATTCAGTTGGAGTTCAAGGCAGTTCAAGGTTTGATATGAGCAAAGAGACAAGTGGGAATCCACACTGGCCAGAGGACCGTCTAAATGTCAGGTATAATCAGCTGGATGATGCAGGGTTCTCTGTAAACCATGAATGGTCCCACCATTTGCTCGACGTGCCAAGGTCTTGTAAGGATGAACCAGCACCTGGAAACGAGTCTATGAGGGTAAAGGATCACCTGAACTCTTTCTTTCACTTATTTATTTATTTATTTATTTAAGAAAGTTCAAAGAAATGGACCCATTCTGAGTGTTCCATGGTTTTCCGTCAGATTCAGATCAAGGCGTCGTACGGATGTCAAGATAAATTGGATTTAAGGAAAATTCAGTTTCAAATTAATAAAAAAATCAAATTAAAGTAGACAAGAAGGTACCTCTTGTGGGGTAGCCAAAATTTCTTGATCATGTACCTCACTGTGTCTATCTCGAGGAAAATAATTGAAACTGTAACGAGTCTAAACCATGAAACTGTGTAATACATACTTGAATAGTTATTGAGACAAAACTAATTTATTTAAGAAAGTTCAAAGAAATGGACCCATTCTGAGTGTTCCATGGTTTTCCGTCAGATTCAGATCAAGGCGTCGTACGGATGTCAAGATAAATTGGATTTAAGGAAAATTCAGTTTCAAATTAATAGAAAAATCAAATTAAATTAGACAAGAAGGTACCTCTTGTGGGGTAGCCAAAATTTCTTGATCATGTATCTCACTGTGTCTATCTCGAGGAAAATAATTGAAACTGTAACGAGTCTAAACCATGAAACTGTGTAATACATACTTGAATAGTTATTGAGACAAAACTAATTATTAGGGCTGCGAATACTTGAATAGTTATTGAGACAAAACTAATTATTAGGGCTGCAAATGAGCCAAGTCGAGTTAAGTAGCAGGTTGTTCAAGTTTGGTTTAAAAACTTAATGAGTTTCAAAACGTATTCAAGATTGCCTTGTTTAAATAACAAGCTAATCTCGAATGAGCTTTTAATGAGCTAAACATGAATTGAGCTCGAGGAGCTTGGTTTTTTTTTATAGTGCATAAATGCTTATTGAGTCAAGTAATAGGTTGTTCAAGCTTAGTTTGAAAACTTAACGAGTTTTAAAATGTGTTCAAGATTGGTTGGCTTACATAATGGGCCGATCTTGAATGAGTTTTAATAAGCCGAACACAAGTCATGCCCGAGTAGCTTCATTCATTTTGCAGCCCCACTTATAATGCAACAACCTATTTTGGTAGGTCAAATAGTCCAAAGAGTTTATGATGATGCTAGTGTGTGAAACTGTACCTTTAAATTGTCTCTACAAAAACCTTTTTAGTTGATGTTCTTATTACTTTGGTTTGACCATAGGTTTATGCTCCAAAGAAGAATCGGATCCACTACTCGGGTCCATTGCTTCCTTCAGGTGGAAACATTGAGGAAATGCTTAAGGAGCATGAGAGGAAGATCCAACTTGCTGTTCGCAAAGCTCATCTTGACAGTGTCAAGACAAAGAAAATGTATGGTGATAATGGACAAACTCATTCGCTACTGCATTATGGGTGAAACAGCCCTGTGACCTTTCAGAGCAATTTTGTGACACCTATATGTGGATCTCAAAACTCCAGCAGAAGTGGTTCTCAATGTTGGCCTTTGAGCAAGTCTCATTGCTATGATAGGACTGGAACTTTAAGGACCTTTGGCTTTCGCGGCATCAGAATATCCCTTCCATATATATCCAAGGTATGCTACAAAGTTTCCAATCTTCAAAAGAGTTTAGTTGAAGCAACTTTTTTGAGTAGTTGAGAAACAAATCAAAGTCTTGGCCAATCATGGTTAGTGAGATTGACAGACTGCTCAGTGGTCAGTCACTTAGTTGTTTGACAGATGATTTTTTCTATTTAAAAAAAAATGATTTTTATTTTTATTTTGCTAGAGATAGTATTGTATAGATCATTTTAATGTGATGGTTGAGCCATTGGTGCAAAATTCTTGGCCAATCATGGTTATTGAGATTGACAAACTGCTCAGTGGCCAGTCATTTAGTTGTTTGACATATGATTTTTTCTATTTTTTTAAAAAAATTATTTTTATTTTTATTTTGCTAGAGATAGTATTGTACAGATCATTTAAATGTAATGGTTGAGCCATTGGTGCAAAATTCAAGGATTTTGACACCTCAGGCCACCACCAGTTTTGAGCAATTTGCAGCAATATAATTTCTTACCAATATACATCAATGGGACACCACATTTTTTTCTTTGATCAGTCCAAATACTCTTTGTTGTAGCATTAGCTCATGGCCTAGGAGAAAAAGAAGTGCCCTAACAATAATGTGTTTGCGGCTTTGTGGCACCAATCAAAATTAAAAATTTAAAAAAAAAAAAAAAAGGATGAAGAAAAAACCAGGGCTGGCTTCAATCCAAAATGGATCTTGCTTCTCTCCCGTTAGAGAGAAGTTCAGTTTGGTGTTTTTAGGTTTTTGGGGCTCATTTCAGATCCTATTCCAGTGATTCGAGTTGTTTATTTTTTAGATCGTTGTGTATAAGATTTTTTGTGAAAAAAAATCAGCTCGATTCAATAATCGTAACTACATAATTTTATTAGATTTGTCTACAAAAAAACGGAAATCATATTTGCTATTCTTTTATTTTTTGAAGACGAGTTTGATTTTTTCAAGGTATTTATACACAAGAATTTTAAAAATATACTGTTCAAATCATTGAACTGTTAACAGATGACAAAACTTGTGTTTATTGATTAATCAAAAGAAGTACAAAATATATAAGTAATAGAATGAAACCCTAATAACCTAAAGTACTAAACTAAAGTACTAAACTATCCTTAATGAATAATATAAACTACATAATTCACAGACACTGTCCATGGAGCTCCCTTGAGGTTGCCCACATCAGGCCCACTCTGGGTGTGGAGGCAGGTAGTAGCACACCATACCCCCTTAATATAGCATTTGAGCCATTTGTTGATTGACAAGTGGAAACATCAACCTGAATGAGGAGTCATAATGATTTTCCAAAATTCATAAATATCGAAAAATCGCAGGGTGTGTTTGGTTTGTGTTTTGAGATAAATTTTCAAAAAAAAATTTGGAGAGAGTTTAGAATTTTTTTTGGTTTGTTTGGTTGTATATTTTGAAAATTGTTTTAGAGTTTGGGATGATTTGATATTTAGTTGTAGACGAGTAGATGTGTGTGAGAGAAAAAGTGATTGAGAATGAGAGAGGAGAGAGAAAAAGTGATTGATTGATGTGTAGATGAGAGAAAGTGATTTTGGAATTTTTTTTCAACAAATTTGAACCAAACAAAATTTTGAAATTTTTTCTCAAAAATTGTATATTGAGATATAAACCAAACAAGCCGACAATCTTCACCAGCGATGACGGCTTCCTAGGGTTTCGATTGAACCAGAACCAACTGCTTCGGTGATGACCTACGAATGCGATAGATCATCGAAGCCTTGCAACGAAGCCTTGCGAAGAGGAAGAAAGAGCTGCGACAACAACCTTGCGAAGAACGACTGCGACAGGTATGCTAATGTTTGAAACTTAGCTCTGATACCATGTTAACAGATGACAAAACTTGTGTTTATTGATTAATCAAAAGAAGTACAAAATATATAAGTAACAGAATGAAACCCTAATAACCTAAAGTACTAAACTAAAGTACTAAACTATCCTTAATGAATAATATAAACTACATAACATGAACTGTAAGAAATTTTTTTTGGACTCGTGATAATTTACGATCATTGATTTCTGTTTCTCATAGATGAAGTTATGCAGGAAGTCTGGTGTTTATTTTGAGTAAGGCTCCATTTGGTGTAGATTTTGACAAGGTAAAAGTTGATAATCTAATAGTAATTTATTTATTATAATTATAATTTTTAAGATGTAAATAGAAGTTGTAACAGATAATGTGAAACGGATTCTCAAAATTTTAATAAAAACTATAAGCAATTTCATAACTTCCTACTTTCCTGGAATGTGACTTCTGTTTTGTATTCTTATGAGCTTCTTTTGAAATCTTTCATATCACTCTTTTGTTCAGTCCTCTTTTCTTTTCTCATACTACTTCCTATAACACCCCTTCTTTCAAACAATAAAATCCTTTTCACCCTTCTTGATTAAATGCACAACTCCACAATGCTTCTTAAAATTCTCGTGTTTTCGTGAGATTGATTGTATATAGTGTTTGATTATATAAATATGGTGTCAGAATTTATTAGGAGTGAGAGACATTATGTATATTGAGAATAGAGAATAGAATATTTGATTGTTTAATAAACAAAAAGTAATAGTGTATTCGTTACACAAAATACTACCTCAAAAAGTTGTTGGGCATGTTATGATTCCTAAAGTTAGTCCAATGAGTTTGGAATAAATCTAAGGTGCTTCCTAAAAATCAAAACCAGTTCTATTTATCCATATCCAACCTTGTTCCACCTAAACAAAGACCAACTGACCAAAAATCAACATGACAAGTCTGCATCATCCTCCAAAACTCTCACAAAATAACTCCACCAAACTTGCAGATCTACCAAACACTTTTTTGCTTCATGAAAAATCTTTCTAGTTCTCTCTCATCTTCTTCAATTGTATTATATTTATGCCTTCATTTCTAAGCATCAAATTAATAGCCATCACAATCTTCACTCACTGATATGCCTCCAAACTCACTCACTCCTTTTTATTTATTCAATTCTAACCAAAATTTATCCTTTCATTCAGCCACAAAGCCCCTAGTTCCAAAGTTACTTCCTCTCTCTCTCTCTCTCACTCTCTACAACTCAAATAAATAAGAGACAAAAATGAGGCAAAAAACCCATCAACTCTCAACCCTTAAACTTGTCCTTATTGGCATATTCATTGTTTTCTCTCTCCCCTTTGTCCTAAGATTGTCAAGCTTCTTATCTTCTGATCAACAGAACTCATCAACTGCAACCTCCCAAACTATTTCTCCAAATATTCCAACAAAAGACGCGAAAGTGACAAATTGTTCACCAAATTGTACCAAAATCCCATCCTCACTAGCCCAAGCTATCATCCACTACACAACCTCATCCACCATCCCACAACAAACACTCAAGGAGATCTCAGTGACAGCAAAGGTCCTGCGAAAAAGGTCCCCATGCAACTTCCTTGTCTTCGGCCTAGGCCACGATAGCCTAATGTGGAGTGCACTCAACCATGGCGGGCACACAGTTTTCCTCGAAGAAGATGAAAGTTGGATCGCGCAAATCAAGCTTAGTTTCGCCACATTGGAATCCTATCATGTCACGTACAACAACAAGGTGAGCCAAGCAGATGCCCTAATGGAGGTTGGGAAGGGTTCTGAGTGCACAAAAGTTGTTCAAACTCGATCCTCTAAGTGCCAGCTGGCCCTAAAGGGCTTGCCCGATGAGGTTTATGAGGTGAAGTGGGATTTGATCATGGTTGATGGTCCAACAGGGTACCATGAGGAGGCACCAGGGAGGATGAGTGCTATATATACTGCTGGCATGATGGCAAGGAATAGAGAGGATGATGGAGAGAGTACTCATGTGTTTGTGCATGATGTGGATAGGGATGTGGAGGATAAGTTTTCTAGGGTGTTTTTGTGTGATGGGTATGTGATGAAACAAGAGGGAAGGTTGAGGCATTTCAAAATTCCAAGTCATAGGGACAGCTTGGATAAGCCCTTTTGCCCTTGAAACAATATATATATATATTTGCTTTTGGTTTGTGTATTATTGTCACTCTATTGTTGTTTTTGCTCATCAAAGGAAATGAAGCATATAGGCATGGTTTGGGAAGTGAGTTGGTTTTTTGACTTTTAGGTTTTTTTTGGCTATTTTAGTCTGGGGCTAAAAAATCTAATTTGGGAAGAACTTTTGATTTTTTTGGCTTTTTTGTAAGAAAATAATGTAATGATTATGGATTAGATGTGATGTTTTGTCTTATTTGACTAAAAAACCTATTTTGTTTTTTGTATCTATTTTAACCAAAAAATTTTCAAACCCAACTTCCAAACATAAGATATCTATATATATATTGTGATTGTGAGTTGTTTCAAGTAGTGATAGGATCATTGGTTTTCCTAGTCAAAGATTATCTCCCCTACAATTATTTGAGACCATGAGAGAATCTCAATGTAAAAAACTTCAATATCAAAGGTTTATTGAATTATTAGAGATCATGAGAGAATCTCAATGTAAAAAACTTTAATATAAAATTTAATTATTGTGAGATAATGGTTAGTTTATTGAAATGAAAGTGAAATATAATCAAATAATTATTTCTTAATCTTTCTATAAAATGATGATTCCTTTATAATCTATTTTATTTCAATAAATAAAATATTACTTAAATGTTTTGAAATAAAACAAGACAATAATTTGAGATTTAAGATAGAATAAGGTTACAAACATGCCATTTTTATCTAAGGATTAATAAGGGTAGACCCAACAACACTATATCATAATGATTAGATGATGTAAAATAATTAAAAAAAATAGTGTTCATAGCAGAATTATTCAATTATATTCCCTTTAATGCATGTAGAGACATGAAAGATGCCCAAAAACCTGTTCAATCCAGCTTTATTTTTTTATTTTTTTAGAAAGAATCCAGCTTTATTGAATTTCAAGAGTATTAATTTTTTTTTTATAATAAAAAATGCTATGTTCACTGATTTAATTGTATTGATTATTTGACGTGATATCAACCTCTTGCATTAATGGTACTGAAGTATGACCATTAAATAATAAATGTTCATAATTAAATCAAATAATAAATATAACATTGCTTCACTTTTATATGTAGTACTCCCTCCGTCCCAAAATATTGGTCCCTTTTGGGGAATCCAACTTTTTTTGGTAGTACACTTATTGCATTTGGAAAAAGTTGATTTTCCAAAATTACCCTTTAGATAGTACATTTTTTGGGAATATCAATATCAAATTGTACTTTTTAAATTGTTTATTAATTTAAAAGAAGGGCAAAATAGGAAATTTACATTATTTTTGTACTTGATTTATAAAGAGGGACTAATATTTTAGGACAATGAAAAATGGAATAAGGGACTAATATTTTGGGACGGAGGGAGTATAATATTTTAAGGTAATGTTATGTTAATAAAAGAAAGGGTTGTTAATTACACAAACACTCTTTTAATTATTAGTAAATATTATTTTATTATTTATGAATTCACCCACTAACTGAAACTCAAAAAAAAAAAAAAAAATAAATAAAATAATTTTTTTTTGTCTAATCACGGCGCGCCACCTCACTGGGGTCGACCCCAGTGAGGGTCCGAAACATTTTTCTTGACGTGATATCAACCTCTCGCATTAATGGTACTGAATTATGACCATTAAACACTAAATGTACATAATTAAATCAAATAATTAGGTCAAGTTTGACATCTTTAAAAAAAAATCAAAAAATTACTATTTTATTTAAGTCATATCATCTTATTTAAATCATATCATATCATCTCTCTATCAAATCACTTCAAACCCAATTCATATTTCATAAAAATCAAAAAATACACTTATTTAGAACATTCCAAACAATCCCTACATATAACACTGCTTCACTTTTATATGTGGTATAATATTTTAAGGTAATGTTATGTTAACAAACGAAGGGGTTGTTAATTACACAAACACTCTTTTAATTATTAGTAAATATTATTTTATTATTTATGAATTCATATAATTCGATCTTATTTATTTACATAATTTTTATAATTAAAATTATCAATATGTACTACTACATAAATAAATAAAAAAAATTGATATTTACTTGTAATCAACCATTTAAAAGAACGGGAGAGTGCAACTTGAGATACACACATTGAATAAATTTGTATTATATTACTTTTTTAAGTAATAAATCATGTTAAAAGGATCAATTTGATTTTTACACTTACATTAAAACTAATTACTTGGACAAACTATAAAAAAAAAAAAATAGAATTTGATCATTACAATAAAAAGATTAAGATTTAAATTGACCAAATTCAAAATTTACGATTTATTTTAGTATAAAGGTTATACGATGAGAATTTTTTTTTGTAATTTTTTTAAAGTATTTATTGTTGAATGTGATTAATACTTTTAATAATAATTAATGGACAGATAGAAAAAGACAACACGACCGTGGAATTAAATATGAATACATAAATAAGGATAAATTATAAATATATTTTTTAAATTTGCTTAAAATATAAATTGTCCTATGTAGTTTTAGAAATAATATTTTGTTTCATTAAATTTTTAATCGCATAACAAATGACTCATTTTATTAATAAAATCATTATGTCAATTAACATTTTTTAATAATTTCATAAATATATTTAATTAACAATTCAGGTAATTTTATTGTTATATAAGAGAATAGTTAGAATTTTTTATATATATTAATTATGTTAAATAAAAAATACTACTAATGAGATATTTGTGATCTTTATAATCACAATAACAATATATATATATTAAGCACACCTCAGTGGGTCTGTTTGTAATTTATCCAAAATAATTCTATTTCCCATTCTTGGGAGTTTGACAATTGAAATTTCATACAACAATGTTGATACTTATTTATAAAAATTAAAGTATTTGTATATCTTTTTAATACACATTTTCGTAAAAAAATATATAATTATTTCAAACATGTTAACAAGTGCTTTAAAGATACAATAAAATATGAAAATGTATTGAATTTTAATATATATATATATATATTTGTATTTTTTTTTTTTGGTGAATATTTTTTTTTATAAATTTTATACTTTTTAAATGTATCTAAAAATAAAAATAAAAATAGTTAAATATTAAAAATCAATTAAAAAATCAATTTTACAGAAAAAATTGCTTACCATAATTTATATTTTAAATAAAATTTATAAAATATATTGATAATATGAAATAATTCATCTATCAAATTTATTATAACTCAAATTATCTGAATTTGTGCTAATCAAACGTATCTTAGCTGAACACAAGGTTTTCTTTGCTTCTGTGATTTATGGTAAGAACCTAGCACATGACAGAATTTCTTTGTGGGCTGAATTACGATCTTTGTTTCCGGGTGGCTCTGCATGGGCTCTAATGGGGGATTTCAATGTTCGCAAACCTGAAGAAAGGGTGAGTGGTTTTGATGCTGCAGCTGCCACAGATTTTAATGATTGGTTAGATGACATCAATATGGAAGACATGGTCACTAATGCTGTGTTTGGTTGGGAGATTTTGGGAGGGATTTGGAAAAGGAAAGAGAAAAGGTATGTGAAATTATGTGAAATATAGACATGATTTATTCACATTTCACCTAACTTTTCCATTTCTCTTTCCAAATCTCTTCCCAAATCTCCCAACCAAACGCAGCATAAAGGTTTTTGGTTTACTTTACATGGACTAACAAAAGGAGTGGCCTTGGTGATAACAAAAGTAGGCTAGACAGGGATCAACAATGAGGTGGTACTACATGCACTAATTAGTATATTAATTAGTACATTAATATTAGTTATGATATTATCATTAATTCAACTCATTAATCATATTATACATACCAAAAATCTCTTAGATTATGCCATATTATCAATAAATATATTAATTAGTATAATAATTAATACATATAGCATTATTCATTTCACTTTATCATCTCGATGACTGATAAGACCATCCATATTAATAAGGGCAAATTATAGTAACAGTCCTTATAGTTTGGGACTCGTATTACTTTGGTCCATAACTTTTCAATTGTGACATATTTTGTCTTGAATTTTAAATCTTGTTTCAAATAAGGACAATTGAATATATCATTGTTTAATTTCAAGGGTACAATCATCAATTCAATAAAATATAAACTAATTTGACAAAAATAAATGTCAAAAAAATATTTTAAATTTTTTCTAAATTATTTTTATCCACCAATGATAAAATTATGTAAAATTGATAAAAATTACATGATTAATTTTTAAAAATTAATTTTACATGATCATCATCTAAACATATAATAAAAATTAATTTGGTAAAAAAAAATAAATGTATAAAAGATTTATCAATTTTATATAATTTTATATTTAGTGGGTAAAAATAATTTTTAAAAATTTAAAAATATTTGTTTGACATTTATTTTTATCAAATTAATTTATATTTTATTAAAATGACAATTTTAACCTTAAAAAATCTAATGATATCTTCAATTATTTTTACTTGAAATAAGATTCAAAATTAAAAATTAAATGTGTTATATATATCACAATTAAAAAATTAAAATCTAAATATAAAGTGACACAAGTCAAAAGTGGAGGGTCCACACCTATTAACAAATTTAGATAATTTAGGCGAAACCAAATTCGAGGCAGCATTCTCATTTATAGTTTACTTTATAAATAAAGTTTGACAAAGGAGGCAGACCATTGTTTCTCCCTTTCTTTCTACTTTAATCACAATCAAATTCTCTACCACCAAACCTCCCTCAGAGAAACCCCACAACACCACCATAGCGAGAGAGAGACAGAGAGCACGCTTCTGAAAGAAGTTCCATTTTTGTCGATACAAAAATCATGAGCAACGACTAGTAACTCTCTCACTCTCTCTTCCATGTTTTGTTTCCTAATTTCTTGTTTTGTGAATTTGTATTCTATAATGTTCTTCGTTTTGTAGCGACTATCTCTTCAAGCTTCTCTTAATCGGAGACTCTGCTGTCGGCAAATCATGTCTCCTTCTCAGATTTGCTGTAAGTTCGACTCTAGCTTTCAGCTATAACCGATTCATGCTTTCAAGTTGGAGTTCACTTTCAAAAAATCACTGTTTTTTTAATTTATTTTTACTTTTTCTCAATTTCAGGACGATTCGTATGTAGATAGTTACATTAGCACCATTGGAGTTGATTTCGTGAGTCTCTCAATCTATCTATATCTATGTATTGTGCCCTATTCTGTGATGTTGTGTTGTTGCTTGCATTTGATGCTTTTTAAGCTAAGACACTGGTATTTCTGGTGTGGCTACAGAAAATTAGGACTGTGGAGCTACATGGAAAGACAATCAAGCTGCAGATTGTGAGTAATCTGCTTTTTGGACCTATTTTAATAGATATGCTTTATGTAACTATGAAAAATGTAGTTAAAGATTTGTTTTGCAAAAAAAAAAAAAAAAAAAAATTGATGAATTTATGTATGTGACCAATGTTTATTTCAAAAGGAAGAATACTGTTCCTCATGCTTTGCTGCGTTCAAACAACACAAGGGTTAGAAAAAAAAAACCCATTTTTTTGATATTGTTTGTGGTGTTTGTTCTTGACAAAAACTTTACTTCTACTTTTCCCCGAAACCTAATTAAAGAAGACCATAGAAGTTTCCCAAGCTTTACAATGGTTGGTCCATTGTTGTGTACGGATATTTGTAGACAATGTTGTTTTCAACAAGGCCCATGAATTGGTTGTCTTAACGGTACTTTTTTGTTGTTTTCTGTTTAGTGGGATACTGCGGGACAGGAGCGGTTCCGGACTATAACTAGCAGTTATTATCGAGGGGCACATGGAATCATTGTAAGAAATCACTCCTTGTAGTATTCTTTAAATCCAAAAATTCCTTTCTTGTATATATTTTTTAACCTTTTCCTTCTATCATGGTATTGGATTTGAAGTTGGAACCATACAGGGGTATATTGGCTGACATGCGATTTGCTGCTTCCAAATACAATTATGAGTAGCTAACCAGCTAGATTTTGATAGTAACTGTCACTTTCATCTCATGTTTATTATGTAACGGGCTTATATCCATTCAAAGGAGTCCTCATCTCTTTCTAATGGTCCTTACAATAATCTACATGACATTTTATTACACCCATGCAAAGGAGTCCTGAACTCTTATCTCATTAAGTAATGGGCCTTATAGTTACAACTTACAATTTACAACTAATCTTTATAACTTTTTGTTGGTCAACTAAGTTCTTGTATCCATTCAAAGAAGTCGTGATCTCTTATCTCATTAATTATGAAATTAATGGGTCTCACAGCTTATCTTTATAACGTTTTGTTGTTTAAAGTAAGCACTTACATCCATTCAAAGGAGTCCTGATCTCTTATGCCATTAGTTATACTACTACTAAGGTTGGTTCACGGGCTTTGCTTTTGTTTATTCCTTTTTTTTTTTTTTATCTGGTCTTAGATGGATTTCATAAACCAGGTAGCTTTATGCTCTCAACTGCTGTTATTCTAAATCATATCCCACTGAAATACTTATTCCTTGCATTTTGTTTGATAGCCCCAAAAGTTGAGACAAACATTTTTTTTAGTGAACAAAAATAAATTTATCCACAAGAAGGGAGAAACTGTATAATGTTTAGGAATAACTGCATTGTAGTTTAAAATGCTCAACAACTTGCAAGCAATGTGTTTGTGAATGAACTCCCAACACCGAACTCTGATGACAACCTTTTATAAGGACACACTCTTTGGTGTCTACAGGAATACAATTCTATTCCTTGCCAATCAAATTGTTTTAGAATTATCAGGTGTTTTACGAATTTAAGTACGGAACATAATTTTGGATATTCATGACTCTACTATGATAATATTTCACCTCTCTCTCTCTCTCTCTCTTGTGCATTGTTAGTGCTTTTGGGTGAAATTTTTAACCAGTATGAGTTAGAGCAAGTTTGAGGTGTGTCCTCAAGCATATGATTTGCTTTTAGAATACAACCAGCTCTTCAGTTTTAGTACTGTCTCTCTAGTGAATGTTAATTCATGCTCAAGTCATTTCACACAGAAATTCAGGAGGAGGTAGAAGCCTACTTCCTAAATCTCTTCTTAGTCATCATGTAGCAGAAATGCCCTTTAATTGAATGTATTTTGGGCTTGTTGTACAATACTGGAGTTATTGCCTTAAAAGTATTTCTGATGAAAAATAATTTGGTAAAAAAGAGATCTTGAAATTAGAAAAATGGTATGAAGTCGAGAAATCGGTGGTTCTTTTATGAAAATGAATGAATCCTTTCAATGTGATCCTCTGTTTCAGCTTCACAAGGCTGAAAGTGATAGAGGAGTCCTGTAGCTGATCCATTATCCAAGTACAAGTAGTTCTTATACAATGCCCTCTGCTCAATTAAGTTTAAAAGTGTTTGCTTTTTCAAAAAAAGTAAAGGGGGAGAAACAAGAAATTGATGCCTTCCAAGCAACTGCTTTGCATTTCACATTGTGAGGCCAGATGTTTTGCCTCCATTCAAATGACTTTTTCTTAAAGAGTAAATATAAATATTTCCTTGGAGTCAAATTCTTAATTATGAGAAGTAATTAATACTGCTAGGGTTAGGCTTGTATTTATGAAACATCACAGATTGGGGAAAATGCTAAGTTATCTTACAATGTATTCAAATACATGTATGAATGTGTAACTGTATAGATTTATATATCACATTTATGAACTAGTCTAGCTATAAGGCAAAATAAGAAATAGAAGAATGTCAACTAGTACTGGTTCTTGATGAAAGCAGTCCATGGAACCAAAAATGTTCTTTGTGAGAATTACTGGATTTGTCACGTTGAATGGCTATTTGTGGCTGTTGACTACAGAAACTTTTCTAGTGTCATTCTTAGTACTGGTTACATAAATAGATAAATTTTGGAAGGGATAGCAATGGCTGTGGAACTATGCTAAAGCTTCTTGTCACTTGAAGAAGCAGTGCTTGGTATAAATTAATACTTGTAGAACATTATTTTAGTTCAACACAAGTTGCAAAGTACACAAGATAATGCTTTAATAAGTAGTAAGATGGAATTGCTTTAATGCAAGAGAATGCTTTTTATTGTTATTGTTATTATTATTATTATTATTATTGTTTTATTTTTATAAAGCTTGCAATGAGTTCTTACATGTATTGAGATTTACAACAGATTGTCTATGATGTGACTGACATGGAGAGTTTCAACAATGTTAAGCAATGGCTGAATGAGATTGATAGATATGCAAATGACACTGTATGCAAGCTTCTAGTTGGGAACAAATGTGATTTAGTTGAGAACAAGGTTGTGGACACACAAACAGCAAAGGTATACATACTCTGTCTGAACTTGTGTATCATATTATTGCAGGCTCATTTGCATTTGTTGATGCTGTGTTTATGAAATTTATGTTTGATTAAACAGTTGCAAAAAAATGTTTAAAGACATGGGGGGGCCTCAACCTGCGAGAATTTGTGCCTTACAGAGATTCCCACTTGAGTAAACCTTTTTAGGTTTTGCTTCTTAGATAGTGAGGGAGTTGGTTTGTTGGGGTTAGGCATATGATGATCTTTGTGATCAAATTTTTTGCAAGTGAAAGTAACACAGAACTTCTCTGTTGTATCTTTTCCTGGGAGATAATAACGACAGGTTTGTTGGCTGACTTGATACAATCTAGCAGCAGATTCCCAAAAGTTGACATATAAGTAATTTGAAGACTACACAAATTCATGTTCTCTCTCTCTCTCTCACACACACACTCACACACTCACACACACACAAATCTCATGATGGTTCTTATTATGTTCTAACTTGGTTCCACTGTTGTCAATGTGAATGAACCATAGGCTTTTGCAGACGAGTTTGGGATACCTTTCCTTGAGACTAGTGCAAAAGACTCGATCAATGTGGAGCAGGCTTTCCTAACTATGGCTGGCGAGATTAAGAAAAAGTAACTCATTATTTCTGATGTTCCATTTATCCGAACTTTACCAATTTAATTTGCTAATGGTCATTTCTTGGTAAATATTAGAAACTTTGCCATTTGTTTTTTTCGTTATTTAAAATATTACATAGTCTAGGGTCCCCTCTCATTGAGGTTTCATCTTTACTCCCAGTTCAAAATAGTAACTTTAAGATCCACCTTGACTGGAATGGTCAATGATAACTTAGAAGCCTCAGTGCGAGGGCAGTGACATAATCAGAAACTATGGGCCTCACCCCATGGTGCCTTGTTTAGAAGTGGTGTTGTCATATATTAATTGGAACAGTGTCTATTTGGCCCCATTCTAAAATGAAATTTGTTCTTAGGATTCGTCACTTGATTGATCCCTTTTAGACTTTGATGATAAAGGCTGATTTTTCTATCTCTTTAACAACTGGATTGATGTGGAGTGACAGCGGTGGTGCCCCACCATCTAATTATTGCCTCCCGGACAATGGCCTCCACCAAGTTATTTCGGCTTGTATTTATCGTTCTTTACACCTAAAGCTCATCAAAGTAGTTTTTACTAACTGTTGAAGATGGTGATGACTTTGCCAACTGCTACCGGCAAGCTTGGAAAAACAAAGTTATAACCAATTTTAAATTGAACGAGTGCGCTACATTATTTGTAATTATCGCTCCAAATATCTGCAGAATGGGTAACCAGCCAAGTGCAAACAAGTCAACGGGGAGTGTTCAAATAAAGGGGCAGCCAATTCAGCAGAAGAGCAACTGCTGCAGTTAAATCACTTCGTGTTGTATTTGTAATTTCTGCTTACAATGGTAAGCTCGTAATCGCAAAAACAAAAACCACTGTCATGTAATTCTGTATGAGTTTTTTTGTACAAAAATTCTGTATGTTTAACATTTTCATATCACTTATGTATCTCTAACAAGTTGTTTGAATTCAATCTTTAGATTTTTAGTAGCTTTCAAATTATATTTTTCTTTTCTGTTAAAAAAGTGAAAGATCTTGGCAATTTTTACAGGTTTACCAACTTGGAAAGGTTCCAAGATTTATGTATTCTTTCCTGTGAGATGCAACTTGTATTAAATCTCTTGAACTTGTATTTTTTTTGGAAAATTGAAATGTAGAAGAAATCAGACCCTGGCATTCAAACGTAGAGAGTATTGTAAAGAACATCATAAGTTCAATGGAAGTAAAATTGAAAATATAAATAATAAAATTATTCAATCTCTCTAATAGTTTAAATTTTTAGATGAGATAGTAAAATGTATTTCTCTGTTTTTCATAATGGATAAAAAAAAAAATAATAAAAAAAAAATAATCCCACTCAATAGATGCTTTTCCAATCAGCTGCTGGTGCTCCATTAGTAACCACCGCCCATTTGCTTGTGAGACATTTTTGTGTCTATGCACAAGGCCATGAACTCAAATTGGAGAAGCATGCACATTTTGCAAATTGGTTATTGGCTGTTTACAATACCTCCATTATTGGGAATTTTCTTTGATAAAACTTGCAAAGTAAAATAATGACTATACGTAATTTTTATACAAAATTTAAGATAAGAATGATATGATAATAATATTTTTGTAATTATAAATTAAAGTGAAGGACATTGTGACTTTCAATGAATAACTATAAATGAGATATATCATTCTGTATAAAAATTTTATATACAAATTTTGTTTGTATAACATTACTCAAACTTGTAAATTTGTAAATGACAAAGTCAAATTCTACATAATTGCACAATGGAACTTCAATTGTGGATAGCTTTTGTAGATAGCCATTGTATTCTCACATTCAAAAAGGAAATTCTCCACTAAGATTCTCAAAATGAATATTGAGTGTGAAAATGATATTTTATGTGATGTCATTAGTCAATAAAAAATTGTAAATGAGATTAGATACACTTGTTGTCTCCTACTAATCTAATCACACAGTCTTTACTATTACAATAAGAGTTTTTTTTTATTGATTGGCGTTACATGATATCACTATTATACCAAATATTTTCTCGATTCCTCAAAAGTAATTACTACTCGAGCCATAGGACAACATTGAACAATATCATGTGGTACTGTCTTTCAACTGGTGTGATAAATAGAGAAAGCCTCCGTCCTCCTTCCCACAAGAACCTACTTCTCTCTGTTTCTTTGTTGTTTTTCTTTCCAAGCCAAAGTTCATCTGAGGCACTAGGGGGGAGAGAGAGAGAGAGAGAATTTAGTGCAAACAGGATGGCAATTGAATCTTGTCACCCTCTCTCTTTGCTTGGTTCTGTTATGTTCTTTACATTATATTAAGAGCAAATGGAAAGAAGTTGGAGGAAAAAGAAGACACTTTAAAGGATCTTCTGTTATTTATTGGGAGAGAGATTAGAGATATGATTAAGATTAGCCGGTTTATGTTATTATGTTGACTCAGTGATGCTTTACTCTATACAATTGTAATCATCGGGATGGGGGGTTTTGGGAATAACACGACTAGGATAACATGATTCGCAGCCATAAAACCGCCTCTCCATGAATGGATAGATGGTATTGTTGAAAGCGACATGGATGGAAGGAGGGGCGAGCGCTCAATCAACATAGTTGGTGGACCTCATCCAAGTATGTGTATGAGACAGTTGATTATTGCTTTTAATTTGCAGTAATCTGCACCAAACAAGGCTTCAAGCGCGAGACATGCTAAAACTGATTTATCATGGAAAAGCCATCAGCAGCATAATTATCCATTGATTTTTGTTCTACATCAAAGTGAGCTTTCTATCTAAAACCTAGTTTTCAAATCAAACTGCTTCAAAGAGGTTTTAGTTGCATGTTCTACGTCAGAGTGAGCTTCTAAAAGTTTTTTCCAAAACCAAATTTTACAAGAGGTAGGGTTTGCTCTACGGCTGCACATCATAGTTTCAGACCTTCTATTAGAGGTAGGGTTGTAAATGAATCGATTTGTAAGTTGTTCAACTTCATTTATTTCTTTTCGAACTGATTTCAAATAAGTTTTAGTAGAACCAATAATAAGAACTCGGTTTTTCATAATACATAGAGATTTATCAAGTAGAGTAGTAGATTGTTCAATGTAATGGTTTATTTTCGCTAAGCATTCTTATTGCAAGCAACTTTGCTATAAATATAATGGGCTATTCCCGTCCTGAGAGGTTGTACTTGTTTTGGTTTCTAACAGTTTTTCAGTTAATTGAGTTAGCTGAGAAGGAATTAGGGAGAAACCTAGTTCTAATTTAATTTTTAGTTTCTTCCCTGTTTTTAGTTTTTTTCTCTCTCTCATGAAACTGTGGATACAATCCAATGTCCCTTGTGACAATTAAAGGTAGAATTCCAAATTTAAAACCACATAGGGTTTCTCGTTTTTTAAGAAGGATATCATATAGCCGATAAAAAAAAAAAAAAGAATATCATGTTATGTCTTACATTTTTATAATAAAAGATCAAGATAATGACAAAATTATCACCTGAGATTATATTTAAAATCAAGAAATAACACACAAAATCTCAAAAAATCCAACCCATTGTCATCACATCTTACCGAACTAAGAATTTCATCCTTGCTTGATTTCATGAAACTGATTTACATGGGTCTTGATCAAGTAAATTAGAAATAAATAAATAATAATTGCAACATATATTTACTAAATCACTAAATTTTTTTGAGGAAATTTCAAATCCATACAAAATTGAAAAATAATCATAAATTAATGATAAATTTTAACAATATTAATTATTAAAATTATAAACTTTTTCATATGTGTAATAATTTCCCCAACTTACCCTTGATGAGTAAAATTTTTAATTTTTTATGTACTACACAGAAGCATAGGTCCACACATGCAAAACCAAACCCATATTTGTAGTTGATAAAAAATTAATAATTCGAGTTTCGTTTGACATTGGTTATAGTAGTCAATTTTTTTTTGTTACAATTTTTTTAGCTGGACTTTTTTAGCCTTGTTTAATTTTTGTTTTTAAACTTTTTTAACTTTTGTAAAAAAAAAAAATGTAAAAATTATGATTTAGATGTGATATTTTGTTTTATTGACTTATATAGTCTATTTTGTCTTTTTGTGTTTTTTTAACCCTAAAATTTAATTATTTAAGACATGTGCAGCAGTTGGAATAAATAGGTGTGGAATGAGTATGAAAATCATCACAAGTCCAGTTGTTCATGTTCAAGGCAATAATGACAACATTACATGTTTTGGGGATGTTATTTAATGTCTTTTCTTCAATAAATTTTATATCATTGTCACAACACAACTCACATGGGTTATATAGTTATATCAGGTCACTCCAATTCTATGTTTGGATGAAGAAGAATTTGCAACAAGAAAAATACAAAGGCATGAAAAATGTGAAACTTCTTTTTTTCCTTTTTTCTCTCCGAATTCAATATTTAAACACTACGTAGAAGTGAATTTTCCCTTAAAATCAACTTTGATTCCTAAAAGCAAATTTGTTTATTTATAAATAAAAAATTACCAAGATAAAAAAAAAAGAAAAAGAAAAAGAAAAACTAAATTCTTGCTTTCAGCAAGGGCACATCAATTCACAAATTCATGAAATAAACAAACATTGCATGGCAATGTTATCGGATGCATGGAATGCAGGTACTACTTCAGCCTTGATAATGAACATCAATTCACATGAAACATGAATGACAAGCTAGAAACCATAGGAAAGAAGAGAGGACCGGTCTAAAAGAAGAAGAAGAGAGGGACGGAGACGGTTTACTACAATTTGGGATGTTTGCAAAGAAACGTTTCTAACTTTTTTAACTAAAATAGCACTAAAAGACATAATAGACTAAAATAGTCAATAAGACAAAAATGTCACAAAAATTTATAATCATTTCACTTTTTCTCTTACAAACATCACATCCAACTATAAAAAAATCTAACTATCTTCCCAAACACAAAAATTTTAGCCTCTTAAAATAGCTTACCAAAATAGCAACTTTTCAAACACCCACAATGACTTGTAATGGCATATTCCAATGACTTTCTACAGACACGAGGGTAAATATAGAAGAAGTTTAAATCCACAATGCAATTCCTATTACGTGAGAATCTCCAAGAAAAATGTGTACAAAACTCCTTTCCCCTTGAGAAGTATATTTCTTAAATTGCATTTGCTTGTACCCTCAAATCTACTTTGCTTATACAGTATAATTTACGAAAAACAATTCAGGCAAGTGCATCCATAAAAATAAAAAATAATAATAAAAACCCATAACCATCCCAACAACAATAGGCCAAATAAATTTTGAAGACAAAACAATAAAAATACAATATTCAAAACAATAGATTTGTTGAATGAAACTGAAAGTAGGGCAAGGCAAGATTAAATAGAGGAAAATTTGAAATGAACAAATAACGACCTTTTAAGATGTAGAGCAGCAAGTCTTCTTTGCGTTAACCTCAGAACCTCCGACAACAAGAGTTTTCCCTTCTTTAATGCTAGCAGGTGCTGGCTCATCTGAAGAAAGCGACTTCTTGCTAATTATCCGATATATCTCAGAGAGGATCGTCTGGAACGCCTTCTCGACATTTATTGCTTCTAGAGCTGATGTTTCAATGAATGAAAGGCCTTCTTTCTCAGCAAAACCTTGTGCATCCTCTGTAGCAACCGCTCTGAGATGCTTCAAATCAGTCTTGTTCCCGATGAGCATGATGACGATGTTGGCATCTGCGTGGTCTCTCAGCTCCTTCAACCACCGGCTGACATTTTCAAAAGTGGTTGGCTTTGTCACATCGTAAACAAGAAGAGCTCCGAGCGCACCTCTATAATAGGCACTGGTGATTGCTCTGTATCGCTCCTGTCCTGCTGTGTCCCATATCTGAGCCTTAACAGTTCTGCCCTCAACCTGAGCAAAGCATCATCATTCAGTAACAAGTAGATAAAGCATAAAATTGGCTTCATTGTTGCAAATGGATTTCATTAACATATATGAATTTGTTCATTTAGGAAAGTCAGTCACAGGGTGAGAGGAAATAGGGATATAATGTCCGGTAAAATGATTACCAAAATTTCTAAGCATGAGGTTATCCAATGTACCTCCCAAGGGACATGGGATATCCAGACAAATATCAATATGCAGGTTGAAACTCTTCTGTTTACTTAACATTCCTACAAGTTTAGTTCAAATCGACAAACCTTCAACACTAAGGTTTTGCAATACATGGTGATTTGCCATGAGAGCCACTACTTTTAGAAGAAAGAAAAAAAGAAGTGAAAACTGTTTTCAAGCTAAATGTCTTAAAATTTCTATTTAAGTTTCAAATCAATATGGGAATGTAGCTATAAACTTCAATCCATGACACGAAAACAAATATATGGCATGCAAACGAAAACATATATCCAAACCTCAAAAAACCATACAAGGAGATGGGCCAAAAATGCCTAACATATTCTGTGTAAGTTGTAAATGCCGTGTAAGGATGGCGAGAGAAAACACAAACATTGAAAAGCTATAGACATAGTCAATAACGTGGTATCATTTCGTTATTTTAAAAGGGCTTTTCAAACATCCTTCAATGACACTATCATGGTTCATGAGCATTGCACTAAAAATGTGCTAGTTGAATGATGCTTCCAGTGAAATTTGAGATACATGCACCACAAATAAAATTCAACTGAATCAGCATCCACACATGACACACCAAATATTTTACGAAAGGAAGTTGACTACTTTACCATGTAGACAACATAAGAATTAAGTCTAACCTTCTATTCTTACAAGTTACAACACACTCAAATGTTCAGAAGTAAATGAAAATGAATTTATTCCATTCTGCACTCTGGCATTTTACAACCCAAACTATTCTTCAATTTAAGATGTGTCAACTGTGGTCATCTTTGCAAAAATACCAAGATGCCATTTCATTAACCTATGAAGCACAGGCACGGGCACGGGTACGGGTACTGGTACGATACGGGTACGTCGATACGGTAAAATTCAAAAAAAATAGGGTACGGATACGGCTTGGTACGTTTGTAAAAAAATATTTATTTTTAATTTAGAGTAATGTAAAAATTAATTAAATTGTTTAATTTGTTAAGGTCCAACCTATAATTAACATTTAATGCCAAAAGGAAAAGTATAAATCAAAATTAAATGTTAATATATTAAACAACTTAAAAACCATTGTTTAATTTTAAAATCATGCTAAGCATAAAATAAAAACTAAAAAACAAATCTAGTGAAATGAGTTTTATTTCTGTAATAGAAGAAAAATATTGTTTCAACTGAGGTACGGTACGGCTTGAATATATACTCGGTACGTCTGGGTACGCCAAAAATTAAGAAAAAAAAACTTGGATACGTGTTTCGTGTACCCAGTACGTATGCAGAAGTACCATACGAGGTACGGTACGCCGATAAATACCCGGTACGGGTACGGCATGTTTTTCGAAATACCCATGCTTCATAGTCATTAACTAATAATCCATAGAAAACACATGCACACTCACACTCACTTCTTACAAGTTACAACACACTCAAATGTTCAGAAGTAAATGAAAATGAATTTATTCCATTCTGCACTCTGGCATTTTACAACCCAAACTATTCTTCAATTTAAGATGTGTCAACTGTGGTCATCTTTGCAAAAATACCAAGATGCCATTTCATTAACTAATAATCCATAGAAAACACATGCACACTCACACTCACACACACACACACACAACCCTATCCCCATAATATATATATATATATAATAAAAATAATAAAATAAAATAAAAAAAGCCCAAAAAAATGAGAAAATAATGTAATAGCATAGAATGGACTCTTTACAAGTTTGAACGTTTTGTAAAATATAAGGAATGGCAATTTTACACGATATCTAGATGAATGAACTACTAACTTTAAAATTTATCTGTAAACTTGGCAGTCTTATTGATAGGTTTATTTCAAATTATCACTACAATACAACCAACATTTTTGGAGTTTTTATTTTCACTTGTGTCTAACTAGGTATTAAATTTTATGTTGACAAATCACTTGTGTCTAACTAGGTATTAAATTTTATGTTGACAAATCACAAACCAACTCTCTAACTTGACTGACAATCCCAAACCAAACACACGCATAATAATAGACTAAATTGATTTGTCTCATAATAGATTAACTTCCAAAACCTGCGCATACTAAGAATTTTAAAATTACTCAACTTCTAAGAATCTAACCACTAATAACTTCCAATATTTAAAAATAAAAATAAAAAATTAAAAAAAAGCAGGTTCTCTGTATATAGTCTCTATCTTTCCTTATGCCTCTGCCTCAATTTATATATTATATTTTGTGTAAGATGTATTGCACCTTTGTAATAAAACATATTTTCATAATCTTTCAGCCTAAAGTTGCTTAATTAACCATTGTTTCACTCCTGCAATCACAATGACATCTTCAATGAGAGTTAGTTTCTTCTTATTATATGACTTTATATCTCTTCCTCTCTCCATCTCTATTTTTTTTTTCTTCTTTGTATTAGTCTCTTTTATTTTTTTACTTATTTTTTACAGATCACGAACCCTATTATATGACTCTCTCTGTCTCTCTCTCTTGGGTGCTTTCTTTGAAATCAACTCTTTCATTTTATTTTTTTTACTAATTTGTTACAGATCATGCGCCGACCCAAAACAAACACTAGTTTATGTTTTTTTTTTTTTTTTTTTTTTTTTTTTTTTTTTTTTTTTTTTTTTTTTTTTTAAACTAGTAAACATATAAACAAAACAGATTCGGCCTCCCAAACCAAATCACTAGTACCTTACAGATCAACCAACCACAGTACGAAAAACCTAACTCCATGTTTTGTGTATCCGAATGTGTGTGTGAATCCAGATCCATACTACTACACCAATTCAAGAGGATTTAGATCAAGGCAAACCTAGTACAAAACATCCAAAACACAGAGAGAAGATACATAATTCAAATCCAACAAGTTAAAGAACATCAAGCAATAATCTTCAGTAATACAAATCAAAAAGAGAAGAAGCACAAATGAGAATATATATATATATATATATATAGAGGATACTAGTTTTAGAGAGAGAAAGTTTAGAGAGAGAGAGAGAGAGAGACCTGGAGAGTGCGGGTGGCGAATTCGACGCCGATGGTGGATTTGGATTCGAGGCAGAACTCGTTGCGAGTGAATCGGGAGAGGAGGTTGGATTTGCCGACCCCTGAATCGCCGATTAACACCACCTTGAACAAGTAATCGTATTCCTCGTCCGGTCTCCTCGCCATCTCTCTCTCTCTCTCTCTGCCACGCAATCCGCAATTGAATCGGTCGCTGAAGAAGAAGAAGAAGAAGAAGAAGAAGAAAGATTACTTCTACTACTTCTACTTGACAGAAATATCAAACACGAGTGATTTGAATGAACTGGAAATTTGGATGACTGAATTGCCCTCTGCTTTTTATTTATTGGAATACACGGAGACTACAGTTTGACGTACGTCTTTCACAGTTATCGACTTGCCCAATCTACCCTCACCTCACAACAACCTTCTCTACGTCTCGGTTTGTTTAAAATATCAAATAAATAAAAAATAAAAAAATTAATTTTTATGAGTTTGTTTAATTTAAAAGTGGTAAAAAATATAAAAAAATAATAATTTTTTTTTTTTGTACAATTCATATTAGTAATGTAAGTAATTTTTTATTTCTTGCAAAAAATATAAGAAAAATTGAATATATGAATTATCTATAATTAAACTTTTAAATTTTTCTATTAATTTTTTTACAAAATCTTCATTGTAATCAAATATTTGCAAAAAAATATATTTTCTTTTCTACTTATTTTCTTTCACTTCATTTTCTTTTACTTTTACTTTCTACCAAATTTTATTTCTAATCAAATAGAGCCTTAAATTAAAATTAAGGTAAATTACAAATAAACTCCTTAATATTTGCTTAAAATATAAATTGTATCTTATAATTCGAAAAATTATAAATTTTTTTTGCTGAAATTTTTTATTTAACAAAATTAACTGGAAAAAAAAATTTAACTGCTCTCCTGCACAATAATGAAATTACTTAAATTATTAATTGAAATAAATTTCTAACATTATTAAAAAATGTTAATTGAATTAATAATTTATTAATAAAAGATACCCTTTGTTATGAAATTAGAAATTCAACAAGTAGGTTGTAATTTCTAAAACTACAAAGAACAATTTATATTTTAAGCAAAATCCAAGAGGTGTATTTGTAATTTGTAATTTATCCTATAATTAATTATTGCAAATCTTTCCTATTATTTTCAAAAAACTTTCATTGTGGGAATTTGAATTTTGAACTACCACTATTTAACATTATGGGTTGTTTTTGTACAATTTATCAGAGTTGCTTATAAATTTTTTTATTTTTATTTTAAGAGTCTGTATGAGATTGCTTGTTATGAGAAATTATTCAATAAGTCAAGTACATTAGATTATCATAATATGATGTTCCTCCACATACTGTTTCTGTTAGCCGAGTATACTACTAACATAAAATTCCAAACCCATGGAATAACTTCTCATTTGGTATGTATACCTTATTGGGTAAAAATAATGTAAATAAGCCAAAAAAAAGTTCATTTTTAAAAGTTGGTTGATGGATACTTTTGACTTTTGATTTTGAATTATTAATTTTTAATTTATAACAAGTTGTATCAAACAATATCTACGTTCCATCTAGTAGGTTACAAGTGAAATAATCAGTTAGTGTTTTATTTCTTTCAAGTTCAAATTTAAATTTGAAAAACTTTGAGTGGCTCATGAAACTCACTAAGGATCTCATTTTAATAATCAAAATATCTCATTTTGCAAGATTCTCAATTTATATCATTTATGAAAAAAAATTAGATTGATCCGATAAGTGTATGCTTTTCATTTTATCATATTTGTTTAAAAAAATGAATAATCTATTTTTAAAAATATATTTATCATTTATTTTTTTAATATAAACTCAATAAAATAAAAATAAATTATCATTATCAAATCAACTAATTTTTTTTTATCAATAATAGACCATCAAAATCTTATAAAATGCGCCGTTCAAATAATTAAAATATAACCCATAACAAATCCAACCAACGCCTCAAATTCTTCCAAGTTCAGCCCTTTTGATATTTTCTGAAGCAAATCTTCCAATTGACATGTGCGCATCCTCTGTAGCAACCGCTCTGAGATGCTTCAAATCAGTCTTGTTCCCGATGAGCATGATGACGATGTTGGCATCTGCGTGGTCTCTCAGCTCCTTCAACCACCGGCTGACATTTTCAAAAGTGGTTGGCTTTGTCACATCGTAAACAAGAAGAGCTCCGAGCGCACCTCTATAATAGGCACTGGTGATTGCTCTGTTGTCCCATATCTGAGCCTTAACAGTTTTGCCCTCAACCTGGAGAGTGCGGGTGGCGAATTCGACGCCGATGGTAGATTTGGATTCGAGGCAGAACTCGTTGCAAGGGAATCGGGAGAGGAGGTTGGATTTGCCGACCCCTGAATCGCCGATTAACACCACCTTGAACAAGTAATCGTATTCCTCGTCCGGTCTCCTCGCCATCTCTCTCTCTCTCTCTCTGCCACGCAATCCGCAATTGAATCGGTCGCTGAAGAAGAAGAAGAAGAAGAAGAAGAAGAAGAAAGATTACTTCTACTACTTCTACTTGACAGAAATATCAAACACGAGTGATTTGAATGAACTGGAAATTTGGATGACTGAATTGCCCTCTGCTTTTTATTTATTGGAATACACGGAGACTACAGTTTGACGTACGTCTTTCACAGTTATCGACTTGCCCAATCTACCCTCACAGCAACCTTCTCTACGTCTCGGTTTGTTTAAAATATGAAATAAATAATAAATAAAAAAAATTAATTTTTATGAGTTTGTTTAATTTAAAAGTGGTGAAAAATATAAAAAAATTATTTTTTTTTGTACAATTCATATTAGTAATGTAATTAATTTTTTATTTCTTGCAAAAAATATAAGAAAAATTGAATATATGAATAATCTATAATTAAACTTTTAAATTTTTCTATTATTTTTTTTACAAAATCTTCATCTTAATTAAATATTTGTAAGAAAATATATTTTCTTTTCTATTTATTTTCTTTCACTTTATTTTCTTTTACTTTCACTTTCTACCAAATTTTATTTCTAATCAAATAGAGCCTTAAATTAAAATTAAGATAAATTACAAACAAACTCCTTAATATTTGCTTAAAATATAAATTGTATTTTATAATTTGAAAAATTATAAATGTTTTTTTTTTGCTAAAATTTTTTATTTAACAGAATTAACTGGAAAAAAAATTTAACTACTCTCCTGCACAATAATGAAATTACTTAAATTATTAATTGAAATAAATTTCTAATATTATCAAAAAATGTTAATTGAATTAATAATTTATTAATAAAAGATACCCTTTGTTATGAAATTAAAAATTCAACAGGTAGGGTGTAATTTCTAAAACTGCAAAGAACAATTCATATTTTAAGCAAAATCCAATAGGTGTATTTGTAATTTGTAATTTACCCTATAATTAATTATTGCAAATCTTTCCTATTATTTTCAAAAAACTTTCATTGTGGGAATTTGAATTTTGAACTACCACTATTTAACATTATGGGTTGTTTTTGTACAATTTATCTGAGTTGCTTATAAATTTTTTTATTTTTATTTTAAGAGTCTGTGTGAGATTACTTGGAAGGAGAAATTATTCAATAAGTCAAGTACATTAGATTATCATAATATGATGTTCCTCCACATATTGTTTCTGTTAGCCGAGTATACTACTAACATAAAATTCCAAACCCATGGAATAACTTCTCATTTGGTACGTATACCTTATTGGGTAAAAATAATGTAAATAAGCCAAAAAAAAAGTTCATTTTTAAAAGTTGGTTGATGGATACTTTTGACTTTTGATTTTGGATTATTAATTTTTAATTTATAACAAGTTGTATCAAACAATATCTACGTTCCATCTAGTAGGTTACAAGTGAAATAATCAGTTAGTGTTTTATTTCTTTCAAGTTCAAATTTAAATTTGAAAAACTTTGAGTGGCTCATGAAACTCACTAAGGATCTCATTTTAATAATCCAAATATCTCATTTTGCAAGATTCTCAATTTATATCATTTATGAAAAAAAATTAGATTGATTCGATAAGTGTATGCTTTTCATTTTATCATATTTGTTTAAAAAAATGGATAATCTATTTTTAAAAATATATTTATCATTTATTTTTTTAATATAAACTCAATAAAATAAAAATTAATTATCATTATCAAATCAACTAATTTTTTTTTATCAATAATAGACCATCAAAATCTTATAAAATGCGCCGTTCAAATAATTAAAATATAACCCATAACAAATCCAACCAACGCCTCAAATTCTTCCAAGTTCAGCCCTTTTGATATTTTCTGAAGCAAATCTTCCAATTGACATGTGCATGAGTAGAGAAACATCATTGGCATAACAACCATAGGTTGTAGTGATTAATGATGTTTGTTGCCTTATTCAGCAACATATTGTCGGGTTGGGGGCTGGTCCAATCCATGCAGTACCTTTACCCTACTGTTGCATGTAGTACTGGGCTAGGTATTTGTTGAGTGAAAAGGCCCAATACTATATGCTCCACAATGTGCAAGCCCATAAAAAAAAAAGCACAGTTACGGCTCAAACTACGGATTGGATTAATTTATAATTTTCAATAATAATTTACTATTATAAAAATATTCTTACAAAATATAATTAAACTTGTACGAGCACGAAATATTATTTTCGTATAATCCTGTTGATCAAGATTGCACTCCACCATACGTCGTCGCTTTACTCCTTGAAAACACAAAAGTGAGCTAGCCGACGGGTGTGTGCCGGATACCTCTCCGATGCCTAAGTCAGCAAAATAGATAAATAGACAAAAAACTCTGTGTATTCGAGAGTCAAAGTTGTATTACCTCTCCATAGGTGATGTTGTGAACTTTTATAGGTTCCGCATGGCACAATCCTAGTAGTACTCTTACTCCTCCATGTAGAGTCCTCCTAAAAATCACATTCCTAAAAGATAATGTTTATCCTTCAACAGCCCCTCACTGCTTAAACCAAGTAAGATGGTTCTACCATGGTTGGATGTCAATACGATCGAGATAATCATAGCTATGCTAAAGCCGCAGACTAGACCGAACTTCCACTAGCTCGGCTCTTCCTTTCACTGCCTGTACCTCGGTTTGACATTCCAACTGGGTTGTCTGAGACCGCACTAACCACAACGAGCCAAGACCGAGCTAACCAATAGCAAGGTTCTGAGGAGGGATTAATATACTACGGCTCAATATGGTATGACAGTGTTAACTGTTACCGCTCTGAGTGTGGTGACCGAGCTAACTGCAGAGCTCTCTTGGACCGAGATAACTATAAGGCTTTCTGGGACCAGGCTAACTACAAGACTTTGTGAAACCAGGCTAACTATAAAGTCATTTTACTCATCCCTTCTTACTGTGGCTCACAGAACAGCCCATTACCCAGCTCGGCCCAATTTACATATAAATTACCCTCTCAAAATTTTTTTAACTTCTCTGCTGATAAAAAAATATATATTTAGAGTTTCACATCATATTTCAATACAAATAAATAAACTAAAAACAAAACAAAACTCACAAACATAAATAAAAAATCCAAATAATTTATTATTTGGTAAATTTATCAATATTATTAGTAGCAAATGAACATTCTACATACACAAAACATTCATCTAAAAAGTTCTAAAATCTTCTCATTATCAAAATGAAGGACACATACATAAATTAAAAAAATTTACTTAAAACTTATGAGTAAATAAATTCATTCTATAAGAACCTAATAGTAATAATCTCGAGAAAAAAAAGGCTGACTTAGGTTCTGTTTGGAAAAAATTAAAAAATTCATTATTTTTAATTTAATTTTTAAAAATTCACTATATTTTATTTTTTGAATAATGAAATGAATTATTTAATGCATAGATTGTGTTTGTTTGTTTTTTTTTTTGAATTTGGAGAGAGAGAGAGAGAGAGAGAGTGAGGGAAAAAGAAAAAGAAAAGAAAAAGAAATATAAAATCCAAACACAAATTTAACACATAGAAGAGAAGGAAATAGATTTCTTTCACCAAACTTAAGAATCCATATATTCTTCTTCTTCTTGGTCATACCTGCATAATTATACTACAAATCATCATCTTTTACATATTCAAGTCCCTATTCTATTAATACCAATGTCACCAAGAAACCATGCAAATCATCATAGTAGAATTAGAACACAATCCAATTCCTCTTGTAACATTACATTCTAAGCAGGGACATCTTGATCAAGAAATGGATAATCTGTGTACCCGATAACCGGATCTGGAATATAGAAAGTGTTCCTATTGTACTTGTTTAGTGGTGCATCCAGCTTAAACCTCCTAGGCAAATCTGGATTAGCCAAGAACAAGCGTCCAAACGCCACCAAATCAGAGTAGTTCTCTGCTATAACTCTATTACCTTCAGTTCTATTGTACCCACCAGCAGCAATAAAACTACCTTTAAAAGCCTTCCTCATGGGAAGAAGACTGTGAGGAGTCTCATACCTGATTCGAGAGAGATCTCAGGAAGTGGAAAAAATCGAATGTAACTATAATACAAAACCATAACTCATAAGTGGAATTATCATTCAATAACATATTACGATGTAACTCAGAAGGATTAAATTGACTAAATTACAAAATACAAAGATTGATAACTAAATTATAAAATTAATCACCATAGTCCTGAGCTAATTCTGACATGGGACAATCAAAGGATTGAAAATTGCTAGGCTAATCCAAGGAATGTTCCCAATAAAAATAGTTTTTGTGCTATATAGACATTAGCAATTTGTAATCTATATTATTGAAATAATTGTTCGGTTTTCAAATTCAAAAAAATTGAGATTTTTCATTTTTTATTTTTTTTTGGTCTTTAGTGAACTTTCTTCATGTTTTAGTTAAATATTTTATTTTTAAGATGAACTTAATCTGGGTGCACTTATAAACTAAAATATTTGTAAAATTTTTGAAAAACAAATCACATAAAAGCACATTTTTTGTATTTTTTTAAAATTGTTTTTAGTGATTTTTTTAAACAATTCTATACAAATATTTTACTTTTATGTGTATGTAGATTAAGTGTTACTACAATATATAAGGACTAGCGGTGTAAATAATATTAGGATTAGAATATGATTGTAATCCCAACACTATTTAAATTTATTTTTTAATTTGATAAAATCACAAATTTATTATAAAATTTTAGAGTTCTTACAAAATTTCTCACGAAAACTCATTTTTACTTATTTAATAAATAGCTAGATAGATAGATGTGTCTAACATACATACAATTTTCACGGGCATACATACAATACTGCTTTTGCTTATGTAATTATATGAAAATTGTATGTATGCCCATAATGTCCTAGTGTATTACGATCATACATACATTGTATGGAAATATGTGTAAAATATATTGAACAAAAAGGAAAAAATAAAAAATATAAATAAATAGAGAGAAAAATAAACACGGGAAAAAAAATAAAAAGAAAAGGGAGAGGAAGACGGGATCATGGGATCATGGAATGAGGGGTGTGAGAAAAGTAAAAAGTAAGAGAGAGAGAAGTAGGAAAGTAGAAAATGTATATGTAGAATATTTTTTGAAAAATATATCTCAGCCATTGTTTTATAATTTGAACAAATCTGAACCATTCAAATGTCCTAATAGAACAAAAATATGTTGAAGATTCAAAAACCGTCATACTTTATTAAAATAAGTTGAAGATTCATATAAGGTCTAAATTTATGAAGTGCATCAGGTATTCAATATATTTAAAAATAATAATTAATTGTCCAAATTCATTTAATTTGTGGACTAAAAGATTCATTAATATAATCTCCACTGCACATAATAAAATCTGACTCCTAATCCTAGGATTGCAGACCTTTCCATATAATATGAATAAAAATATGTGAACAAAAAGGAGAAAATAAAAAAATAAACAAATAGACAGAAAAATAAAAATGGGAGAAAATAAAAAAATAAAATTAAAAAAAAAGAAAAAGGAATGTGGGATCATGGGATCATAGAAGAATGGGTGAGAAAAGGAAAAGTAAGAGAGAGAAGCGGGAAAATAAAAAATGTACATGTAGGATATTTTTTGAAAAATATATCTCAGCCGTTGTTTTATAATTTAAATAGATCTAAACCGTCCAAATATCCTAGTAGGACAAATGTGTGTAGGACAAATTCTATGTTGAAGATTCAAAAACCGTCCTACTTTATTAAAATATGTTGAAGATTCATATGAAATCTAAATTTATGAAATCTATCATGTATTCAATATATTTAAAAATAATAATTAATTGTTCAAATTTATTTAATTTGTGGATTGTAAAATTCATTAATTTAATATTTAAAATTCATTAATTGTTAAAAAACCGTCCTATTTTATTAAAATATGTTGAAAATTCATATGAAATCTAAATTTATGAAATCTATCATGTATTCAGTATATTTAAAAATAATAATTAATTATTCAAATTCATTTAATTTGTGGACTGTAAAATTCATTAAGGGTTGGTTTGGGAAATGGGTTGATTTTTTGGCTTTTTTGGCTATTTTAGTTTGGACTAAAAAGCTTGGTTTGGGAAGAGCTTTTTGGCTTTTTGACTTTTTTGAATTTTTTTGTGAGTGAATAGTGTAATGATTATGGGTCAAATGTGATATTTTATTTTTTGTGACTAAAATAGCCTATTTTGTCTTTTGTGGCTAAAATAGCCAAAAAAGCCCAAAAGATCTCTTCCCAAACGGAGCTTAATTTAATCTGCACTACACAGAGTAAAATCTGGCTCCTAATTCTCGGATCATAGATTTTTTCATATAATATGAATAAAAAATAAGTAAACAAAAAAGAGAAAAAAAAATTAAAAAAAAAAGGCTATTTTAGTTTGGACTAAAAAGCTTGGTTTGGGAAGAGCTTTTTGGCTTTTTGACTTTTTTGACTTTTTTTGTGAGTGAATAATGTAATGATTATGGGTCAAATGTGATATTTTATTTTTTTGTGACTAAAATAGCCTATTTTGTCTTTTGTGGCTAAAATAGCCAAAAAAGCCCAAAAGATCTCTTCCCAAACGGAGCTTAATTTAATCTGCACTACACAGAGTAAAATCTGGCTCCTAATTCTCGGATCATAGACTTTTTCATATAATATGAATAAAAAATAAGTAAACAAAAAAGAGAAAAAAAAATTTAAAAAAAAACAAATAGAGAGAAAATTAAAAATTAAAAAGAAAAGAAAGAGGAAGGTGGGATCATGAGATCATAAAAGAATGGGTGAAAAAAAGAAAAAGTAAGAGAGAGAAGCGGGAAAATAAAAAATGTACATGTAGGATATTTTTTGAAAAATATATCTCTGCCGTTGTTTTATAAATCGAATAGATCTAAGCCGTTCAAATGTCCTAGTAGGACAAATGTGTGTAGGACAAATTCAAAAACCGTCCTGCTTTATTATATAGATTTTAGGAATCAAATTCTTATCTCTAGAAGTACAGTGAACGATAGGACCGACATTTATGGTGGGAGCTTAGAGAACCGGTGTCGCTTCGCCTTGGAAATAGTAAATGCTGTAGTGGATGAGATTGGAGCTGATAGGGTTGGAATGAGACTCTCTCCTTTCGCAGACTACATGGAGACCGGTGACTCGAACCCTGATGCACTAGGGCTTTACATGGCTAATGAAGTCGGCAAGTTCAACATTCTCTATCTTCACGTGATTGAACCAAGGATGGTTAAAATAGGCGACAGGTAACTGTTACAAATCCTGGCTAAAGATAAAAAAAACTCACATTTTTTTCATAAACCAGAACAAACATGTGAGTTTGTTTGGCTTAATGTTTTTAACCAGTGTTAGAATTTTTTGTTTTTTAATTTTTTTTTACCTTTAGAAAACTTTTTCATATTTTAATCCACTACAATTAGGGCTGTAATGAACCAAAACTGTTCATGTACAGTTCGAGCTCGGCTCATTTAAAACTTGTTTGAGCTCAACTTGTTTATTCAAGGAACGAGTTTGAGCTCGAGTAGCCTTAAGCTCAGCTTGACAAGGCTCATAAATATAAAAATAAATAAATATTTATTTATTTTTATATTTATGAGCCTTGTCAAGCTGAGCTTAAGGCTACTCGAGCTCAAACTCGTTCCTTGAATAAACAAGTTGAGCTCAAACAAGTTTTAAACAAGCCGAGCGCGAACTGTACATGAACAGTTTTGGTTCATTACAGCCCTAATTGTAGTGGATTAAAATATGAAAAAGTTTTCTAAAGGCAAAAAAAAAATTAAAAAACAAAAAATTCTAGCATTGGTTAAAAACATTAAGCCAAACAAACTCACATGTTTGTTCTGGTTTATGAAAAAAATGTGAGTGTTTTTATCTTTAGCCAAGATTTGTAACAGTTACCTGTCGCCTATTTTAACCATCCTTGGTTCAATCACGTGAAGATAGAGAATGTTGAACTTGCCGACTTCATTAGCCATGTAAAGCCCTAGTGCATCAGGGTTCGAGTCACCGGTCTCCATGTAGTCTGCGAAAGGAGAGAGTCTCATTCCAACCCTATCAGCTCCAATCTCATCCACTACAGCATTTACTATTTCCAAGGCGAAGCGACACCGGTTCTCTAAGCTCCCACCATAAATGTCGGTCCTATCGTTCACTGTATCTTTCATGAACTGGTCGATTATGTACCCGTTTGCACCGTGGATCTCTACTCCATCAAATCCTGTGATTATGGAGAAGATTGTTTAATTGGATGTGAAGAAAGAGATGGTGAACTATTTTGAGAAAAATATTGAACTTGTAATCTTGAGCCTCAAATAATCAGCTTTGAGTTGGTGTTTTCTGACCTAAGTTTACTTCTAAAAACCATAACCAGTGCTACCAGAAAACGTTAATATTAGAACAATTCACATTTTGGAGCACACATTAAGAAATGTGGTACGCTTTCATTTTAAAATGGTTAATTTATCGATCCAAAAGCAATCTCAGCAGATTTTTTTTTTTCTAATATATTTTTTAAAAGTTTTTTTAGAAGAAAAAAATGTAATTAAATATAATGAATTAAAGTTTCAAGAGAGTTACATGAAAACGAGTCATAACCTTTATATAATTGTGTTGTTATGCAACTAATTTGAAAAATTATGGGAGGGGAGAAAAAAAAACTTGTTTGGTTTATATCTCAATATATAATTTTTGAGAAAAAAAAATTCAAAATTTTGTTTGGTTCTCGAAAAAAAAATTTAAAATCACTTTCTCTCTTACACATTAATCAATCACTTTTTCTCATTCCTTATTTCTCTCGCACATATCTACTCAACTACAACAAAGCTTTCGTTTGGGATGTGAGTTAACTTTAACTTTAGCTTTTTGATTTTTTTGACTTTTGTAAGAGAAAAAACGAAATAATTATGATTTGAATGTGACATTTTGTCTTATTGACTTTTTAGCTTATTTTGTCTTTTTGTGACTATTTTAACCCAAAACCAACATGCCAAACAAAGTCAAAATATATCACAAACTCCAAAACTATTTTTAAAATATATAACCAAACAAATCAAACAAAAAAAAAATTATACTTTCTCTCCAAATTTGTTTTTAGAAATTTATTTCAAAACACAAACCAAACACATAGTACATGTTTTTTTTAGATATCTAATTATTAAGAAAAAAAATTGCTTTAAAAGCTATATTCTTGTGTATGGTGGTTGTGAATCATATGCAAAACAAATAAAGAAATTTAAAGATAGGAAGAAATTTGATTATACTAACCAGCATCAATGGCATTACGCGCAGCGAGCCTGAAATCGTTGACAATGTGAGGGATTTCATCGATTCTCAGGCGTCGAGGAGGGGACCAATCTACTCCATCAAGGCCAGGTGTCACCCCCTTGTCCGTACATGATATGGGAGCTTCACCATTAGGTTGAAATGCTACATTATATATACCAAATTCAAATTAATTTCAATCATTTGACGGGAAAAAAAAAAAAAAGAGTCATGATAGAGACCCCCTCTAATTACCACCCCACAACCCCCCACACACATTTTTTTGAAAAAAAAAATCATATATAAGGATGGATCACTCCAACAAATTTTTTTTATTAGGCTTAACAAAACAAGCTCATGTCGTCCACTATTTTATCTTATTACATTTTGAAAAATATATGTAAATCAAAACAATCATTCTATTCAAATCAAACACGTCACTTAACTCCTTAATTCAATTCCAACACATCAATTGATTTCGACTTGAATTTTTGACTTAGAAAATCATTTTATTTTTTTTATCTTTTTTAGAATTATGTAGGAAAAGAGGAAATGGGAGTATTGAGTCTGAAACACTACGAATAGATCTAAGCCGTTCAAATGTCCTAGTAGGACAAATGTGTGTAGGACAAATTCAAAAACCGTCTTGCTTTATTATATAGATTTTAGGAATCAAATTCTTATCTCTAGAAGTGAAAATTTTGTTACAAAAAATATTAGGAGATCAATTTCTGTCATGACAATTGTCACTAAAAGTCTATCTCAAAAAGTAAAAATAATAATAATCTTTAGCGACAATTTTACAAAGTCACTAAAAAACACATTTTAACGGACAAAACAATTTTGTGCTACGAAAATTTTGGCAATTTATCACTAAAATATCTAATTTTGTTGCTAAAAACACAACAATGATACTTTTGGTAGTTAAAATATTTTGTCCTTAAAAATGATTTTTGTTCTTAAATTTGTGTCTATTAAATCTTAGATTGTTGCAGTTAGGGCAGCAAACGAGCCGAAGTGAACCTAGTTTTTGAATGTTCAAACTTGTTTATTAAGGATTAGTCAAGCTCGAGCTATAATTTAGCTTACAAAAGTGAGCTCGAGCTCAAGCTTAGCTCATCAAATATTTGTTGAACTCAAGCTCAATGACATAAATGAGCCGAGTTCGAGCTTGAAAAAAAATTAAATTTAAATTAATTTAATTTTTAAGATAAAAAAATACAAAATTATGAGTAAAATATATAATAATGCTTATATTAATAATAAATTCCATCAATCAAATATGTAAATTTATACAAACACCAAACATAAATAAAAAATAAAATAGATTATTGAAAATTTATTTAATATATTATTAAAAATAAATAAATATTTATTTATTTTTATATTTATGAGCCTTGTCAAGCTGAGCTTAAGGCTACTCGAGTTCAAGCTCGTTCCTTGAATAAACAAGTTGAGCTCAAACAAGTTTTAAATGAGCCGAGCTCGAACTGTACATGAACAGTTTTGGTTCATTTACAGTCCTAATTGTAGTGGACTAAAATATGAAAAAGTTTTCTAAAGGTAAAAAAAAATTAAAAAACAAAAAATTCTAACACTGGTTAAAAACATTAAGCCAAACAAACTCACATGTTTGTTCTGGTTTATGAAAAAAATGTGAGTTTTTTTTATCTTTAGCCAGGATTTGTAACAGTTACCTGTCGCCTATTTTAACCATCCTTGGTTCAATCACGTGAAGATAGAGAATGTTGAACTTGCCGACTTCATTAGCCATGTAAAGCCCTAGTGCATCAGGGTTCGAGTCACCGGTCTCCATGTAGTCTGCGAAAGGAGAGAGTCTCATTCCAACCCTATCAGCTCCAATCTCATCCACTACAGCATTTACTATTTCCAAGGCGAAGCGACACCGGTTCTCTAAGCTCCCACCATAAATGTCGGTCCTATCGTTCACTGTATCTTTCATGAACTGGTCGATTATGTACCCGTTTGCACCGTGGATCTCTACTCCATCAAATCCTGTGATTATGGAGAAGATTGTTTAATTGGATGTGAAGAAAGAGATGGTGAACTATTTTGAGAAAAATATTAAACTTGTAATCTTGAGCCTCAAATAATCAGCTTTGAGTTGGTGTTTTCTGACCTAAGTTTACTTCTAAAAACCATAACCAGTGCTACCAGAAAACGTTAATATTAGAACAATTCATATTTTGGAGCACACATTAAGAAATGTGGTATGCTTTCATTTTAAAATGGTTAATTATCGATCCAAAAGCAATCTCAGCAGATTTTTGTTTTTCTAATATATTTTTTAAAAGTTTTTTTAGAAGAAAAAAATGTAATTAAATATAATGAATTAAAGTTTCAAGAGAGTTACATGAAAACGAGTCATAACCTTTATATAATTGTGTTGTTATGTTACTAATTTGAAAAATTATGGGAGGGGAGAAAAAAAACTTGCTTGGTTTATATCTCAATATATAATTTTTGAGAAAAAAAAATTCAAAATTTTGTTTGGTTCTCGAAAAAAAAATTTAAAATCACTTTCTCTCTTACACATTAATCAATCACTTTTTCTCATTCCTTATTTCTCTCGCACATATCTACTCAACTACAACAAAGCTTTCGTTTGGGATGTGAGTTAACTTTAACTTTAGCTTTTTGATTTTTTTGACTTTTGTAAGAGAAAAAACGAAATAATTATGATTTGAATGTGACATTTTGTCTTATTGACTTTTTAGCTTATTTTGTCTTTTTGTGACTATTTTAACCCAAAACCAACATGCCAAACATAGTCAAAATATATCACAAACTCCAAAACTATTTTTAAAATATATAACCAAACAAATCAAACAAAAAAAAAATTATACTTTCTCTCCAAATTTGTTTTTAGAAATTTATTTCAAAACACAAACCAAACACATAGTACATGTTTTTTTTAGATATCTAATTATTAAGAAAAAAAATTGCTTTAAAAGCTATATTCTTGTGTATGGTGGTTGTGAATCATATGCAAAACAAATAAAGAAATTTAAAGATAGGAAGAAATTTGATTATACTAACCAGCATCAATGGCATTACGCGCAGCGAGCCTGAAATCGTTGACAATGTGAGGGATTTCATCGATTCTCAGGCGTCGAGGAGGGGACCAATCTACTCCATCAAGGCCAGGTGTCACCCCCTTGTCCGTACATGATATGGGAGCTTCACCATTAGGTTGAAATGCTACATTATATATACCAAATTCAAATTAATTTCAATCATTTGACGGGAAAAAAAAAAAAAAGAGTCATGATAGAGACCCCCTCTAATTACCACCCCACAACCCCCCGCAGACATTTTTTTGAAAAAAAAAATCATATATAAGGATGGATCACTCCAACAAATTTTTTTTATTAGGCTTAACAAAACAAGCTCATGTCGTCCACTATTTTATCTTATTACATTTTGAAAAATATATGTAAATCAAAACAATCATTCTATTCAAATCAAACACGTCACTTAACTCCTTAATTCAATTCCAACACATCAATTGATTTCGACTTGAATTTTTGACTTAGAAAATCATTTTATTTTTTTTATCTTTTTTAGAATTATGTAGGAAAAGAGGAAATGGGAGTATTGAGTCTGAAACACTACCACAACAATCCATTCGGTTGATACTCGTCAATTCAAATGCATGAGAAGTTAAAAGGTCAAATTAAATTGTGTTCTCTTATTACATGAAATTATGAAATTTGAGTTCAAGTCTCATCACTACATAATATAACTTCTTTTTTATCCTGTCTTATACTAATTTAAAATTTAAAAAAAAAATAAAAAAAAAAACTTAAATATCCTTTGTTAATGTATCTGGACCAAGAAGAAAGCTCACGTAAAATATGATGTGTCACATGTCATGGACATTTTTAGTGGATGTAGACAACCAACCCATTCTTTATCACTACATTTTTATTTTTATTTATTTATTTTTTTTGGGGGGGGGGGGGGGGGGGCGGCGGAGAGGGGGTTAAATTGGGAAAGCGACTTTATTAAGGCATATGCATTAATCTATATAGTATTGAAGCATGATGCACTCTACAATGAAATGGATATACAATTATATAACATGGACAATTATAGGGTAGCATAATTTGCACATCAATTACCTATCTATACTATTATATATGTGAACTCACTTTAGTTTCTTGAAATCTACTCTCCTTTTTTTCTAAGTAGATTTTTTTATATCAAAAATGAAAAAAAAAAAATTTATAAAGTGAAGTGCACAAAATTTGAACCTAAAATCTTGGATTTGAAAAACAATATCCTTATCACTTGACCAACAAATACTATATATATTTCTAATTTAAAATCAAAATTTATATTTTATAAATAAAATAGCACACTCATTGGGTGAGCTGACGCCCTAATATATATGCTTTCATTTTAAAATGGTTAATTTATCGATCCAAAAGCAATCTCAGCAGATTTTTTTTTTTCTAATATATTTTTTAAAAAGTAGCCAGTCAATAAGGAATGCCCAGTAAGGTGTCAATGGTTGAACCCATCATATATTAAAAATAATAGATTGAATTTAGAATAATGTTAGAGATTCTAAATATTTTATTAAATATTTTATCAACTGTCTCACGTGAGTGTGAGATGCACGTGAGATTCACATGGTATGGATCTCATACCCATGTGAGACATTTGATAGAATATTTGATAAAATATTTGACATCTCTAGCGTTTTTCAACTTTTTATTTTTCTTGTCATTTAAAGAGCTCACACTAAATGTATATCCCCCCAAAAAAAAAAAAAAATTTAATACCCAACAAATTTTCGTATAATTGTCTCCCCATAAAACATATTAGAAGACGTACACATTTATATGCCTTATAAGTGATTGGATTGAGCAGCTGAAGTTACAGTAAAATAATATTTTAAACAAATAAAAAATTGTAGACATTTTATATTCATACCAATTCTGTGCTCATACTATATAATAAAATAGATATTAGTGTAAACATCACAATCTCAAATATGTTTAAATACATCCAATTAAATTGGAATGATAATGATACACATGGATATTGTAATATTGGTTAGTTACTGCAACTTTCTCTTATTTTCTTTCCCTCTTTCTTTCTTATTTTATTTTATTTTAAATTTGACTTGAATGCCAAAATATGTCCAGATTAAGAATTGAGCCTTTTTAATTATTGTTGACTTTACTTTCCCTTTTTTAATTATTGTTGACCTTACTTGGTGCAGAATGATATATATAATATTAAAAAAATCCAAATCTCAAATCTAGTTTGTCAGATATGGGTTTGGTTAAATACAATTTATTTTATTTTATTTTTATATCCCTACTTTCATAAAAAAAAATTTTTTTTTAAAGATGTTTCAATATCATAATTGGAATCCAATGCGTATCTGGTAAATAAATGGCAAATCTGACGTTTTGTTTCTTCGAATCTTCCATTTATGAGTATGCGTAATGTGATTTGGATAGTTTGAGAGTAAAATTATAAATTGAATGGTAAATTAACGGATTGAAAAATTGACAAATTGCGATGTGAGCGATTGTAGGTGGATTGATGAATTGAAGAATATTTTAATTAATTATCAAATATTTGTATAACATATAACATTAATTTACATAATATTTTTCATATATATAACACAGACTAATTTTATAAAATATTTTTCATATATATAACTACTAATTAATTTGTAATAAATTTTACATATTAAATTTCTCACTCATTTTTACTTTGATATTTTATTATAAGTTAAAACATATATATATATATATATATATATATTAACTATAGCGGAGCGAAACAGTTTTGAAGGCGGATTATAAATTTTAAAGTTTAAATCACGATTATCGGATATAACGGTGTGAATTGATGAGGATCAATGTGATTCTAACAAATTGTGCGGTATTTTGCACACCACACATTCTAGATGATTAATGACCACCTGGCAAAAAATAATATGGATAGTTAGTGAATTTAGTTTTTTTTTTAATTATGTCTTCTTTTTTTTTTAATCATGGGCAAATTACCCCAGTAGTATCTCTATTTTAGATCTTATATCATTTTGGTCCTTATAATTTTAACTTGCTCCATTTTGATCATAAATTTATGATTTTATTTTAATTTAGTCCAATGACTATAATCATCAACGTATTTATTCGAAAATACGCACATAAGCAACAAAATTATAAAATTTTCAACTAAATGAATTAATCTCAACTAACTTAGTAATTATGTTTTGTCAAAAACTCTAATCGGCATTGTCCATTGAACCAAATTAATAAAAAATCTAAAATAAATAGTTAAAATTAAATCAATTGAAAGTATGAGGACCAAAATAATAAAGGAGGCCAAAAAAAAAATTACTGACATAATTTACTCTTTAATCATTAATTAGAAAGTTTTTTTTTTTTTTTCATAGATAGCCATTATTAGAAAGTTAGAAAGCAACTTTGATGTAGTTGACCCTTGCACTAAAATTAAACTGTTGATGCGACACTTGAAAAGGAAAGATTAACAACAGAAACCGAGTAAATTATGGTCATGTTTGGTTTACAAGATTAATAGTGAAGTATTAATAATTTTAGTAAATTAGTGTAGTATTCATTATCCAATTGGATTAATATCTATTGGATTAATAATCTCACTCTTACCCCATTACTAATAATCCTATAAATTTATTAGATTAATTATCCATTTGATTAATAATCCTAAATCAAAATGTTAAAATAAACATAAAATAATTGAGCCCATAGATTAATAATCTCAATCCTATGCTCTAATCCACCCAATCAAACATGCCCTATATGGATTAATTAGTTGATTAATAAAAGATGTTACAAACGTAGAAAGAAAATAAGAGAAAAATGCAAGTATTAGATTATCCATTTTCTCTAAAATAGCAATCATTCTAAATGTGATTTAAAAGATTATAATATCAAGACGTTTTCGCTTAAGATAAACATAGTTAATTAGAACATAAATCTCTTAAGAAAAACTCAATTACAAATGGAGACAAAATGTTTTTAAAAAAAATGTTATATGTTATGGATTTATTTTATTTTATTTTTTAATATATGAACATACCATAACTGGAGACGCGACCAACGTGCCAAATTTGGCAAAAGAAGATCCCACCCTTGTTATGAACAGCATCCACAATTGGTTTCCATGCTTCCACATGCTCTTTTGTCCAAATTCCAGGTGTTTCTGGGTACCTTCAAATCAAAAATTTTAAAAAAAAATGGAAAATGGTTTTCAATGTAATAGATTGATGCTAAAGATTGTAAATTTATGACTTAGGCCTTGTGACAACGAATCAATGGAAGTATATGAATTGTTGAGGCAGTGCGGATTCTAATAAGTACTAAATACTAATCACTTGATTGTAATTGTAGACTGAAAATATTTTTTGATATTTTTGCATTTATAGATATGGTGTCTTAATTTTTTAGGGTACTTATGTGTAGATCCTAATAAATATACTTATTATTTAATATGTCCTATAAAAAAAAAATTGTTATAAAAAAGTCACTAATTGTAAGTTTTAGCGACAATTTATAAAAATCATGACAAAAAAAAGTCACTAATTGTCAATTTTTAGCGATGTATGTAAAAAATTGTCACAAAAAAATTATTTTTAGTTACAATTTTATCAAGACTTATTTTCAATAGGACTTGATGAAAATTAAGTCTAACTATTAGGACTTATTGATAATTATTCTAATTTTTTATGTATTTATATTTTATAATTGAACGAAGAGGCAGCTAGCTAGTTATCTTTGTAAGATTTTGTACCATTTCTGATTATAAAAATCCTACCAAACCAACCATGAAAGTAGTCCTAGTTTAGAGCGAACCAAGAACATCATATTGTGATTTATTTTTCTTGTGCATTTATTTATTTTGTGTTTTAGTTCATATTTCACCAATCCCGATTAGGCATATTGGATTCTTAACACGAATTTTGTTGCAATTGGCAAAAACACAAAAGGCATCGCGAATCCTTTTTATTTTAGGAAAATTTTTAGAGTTCTTAAAATTTGATAATTTCACATATTTTCATCAAGAGAAACATCGATTTGAGCACAGCTAAATACAGAAGTAAAATGTCTCTCCACGCCTACCTTCATGGAGAAGAATTCCCAATACATAAAAGAGAGATGTGGGTGTGAAGAGAAATTTTGTCAGTTTATTCAACAACACTGGTCAATTTAAGTGGCTGAGAAATTTCTAAGATATTTGCTCTACAAAATTGGTGAAACTTAACAGCAATAAAACCAAAGGCTTACAACAACTAAAATTATATTTGTGTGCAAAATTTCTCGGTAAAGTTTGAAAAGTGATCAAATAGAAACTTTCATGCCTTGTAGTTCAACTGCATAAAATATTCCGAATATTTTTATAATAAGAGAAAAAGTCGAAAGTACCCCTGAGCGGTGTCGGATACACCGGTGGCTTCAGTAATGAGAAGGCCTCCATTTGTAGTTCTTTGAGAGTAGTAGAGTATAGCATGAGGCTGTGGAATGTTGTTGTATGATCTGTTCCTTGTTAGTGGTGCTAAAACAACTCTGCTTCCAATCCAAAAACAAAAACAGACCAAAAACAAAACAAAAACAAAAAAAACAAGTGCAGTAAAAATCAAGAAGCAAAACAACCCAACATTCCACAAATCAATTTGGATAAAGAAACAAAGGGTATAGAAGGAAAGCTCGAGCTAGAGCTCGAGAGAGAGAGAGAGATCAAAACAGAAATAGAGTTGTGTAAGTAGCAAACCTGTGAGAGAGGTTGAATTTTCCCATTTTGTAGGGAGTGAGGAGAGGAATTGGATTGGGTTTGGCTGCCATTTCAAAGCTTTAGTTTCTTGTGCTCTCTCTCTCTCTCTCTCTCTCTCTCTGAGCTTTAATGGTTGACTGGCTTTATTTCTTATTGTTGCATGGACCACCACTAATATATAATAATATACCAACAACAATACTTCATATCAATTTACATACACACATTTCACTCGAATACTTCATATCAATGTACACACACATATTCACTCGAGATATAATCGAACGACTACAAGTTAATTAGGATGGAGGGATAAAAAAAAATTGGATAGCGAATCCTTAGCTCACACATGTTAAATGTGTAATTCAGGTGAGCTCAATTTGAGTCTAGTCTAAAAAAAAATTAGACACATTATCCGCAAGTCCTCTTTGAAAGATGTGTATTTTACTTAATCCTACAATCTTTTGAGTAGATCCAAAGGTCTTGCGTTTTCTTTATTCTTTCTCTACGTTTTCCTTTTTCTATTTCTTTTTCGGATATCCAACGACTACGCCTTTCTTTTTCTCTTTCTTTTTCTGATATATAGTCACTGGCGACCACCATCGATTGGGGTTCACTGGCAACTATCGACCACCAACACCTTGCTTCGCCCTCATCGACGGCGAAAAAGATGAGTTTTCGGTGAAGAAGAGAAGTAGATTTATATCAAATCCAATTAAATTTAAACTAAAAATAATTGTTGGAGTACAATTTTCTCTTTATATCTGTCTCTCTCTTTCGATCTCTCAGTTTTTATACTTTTTCTCTACTATACACTTCTCTTTTCTTATTTTAATGGAGAAAATTTTCAAATTTTGAACAAGTTGTTTTCAAGTTTCAACTACATACGAGGAAAAATGTAAAATTTTTCAATTTAAATTATTTTGCTATTTTATAACATGCTTTAGAACTGTAAAGTTTTATAGTTTCATAACATGTTTTTCAGATTGATTAATAAAGATAAATGTTTAACAGAATCATACTTTGAAACTGTAACAATTTTACAGTTTCAAAGTTTACTTTTCAGTTTGATATTGGAGATTATTTACTTAAACCCTACAAAAATTAAAAAATAACATATGTTTTTTCTATTGTTGCTGTTTGTGGTTGTTATGTTTTTTTTTTCTTTCAGTTTATCAATATTTAGTATATTTCGTTATTTTTTTTGCTCTAATTTCTCCATTTATTCTTTTTTTGGGTAATATTCTGGACATTTCGGTGAGTCTCCAATGATGTTCTTGATGTCCAACGAATGTTCTGAAGATTCCTGTAACTTCTAGTGATGTTCAGAACACTCCGACGATACTCTGGCGAATTTCTGACGATATTTCGACGACATCCCGATAATGTTAAATATTCCGACGAGTCTTCGATGACCACCTGATGGAAATCCGACAGTGATAGAATGTAGCAATATCTTTAAAAAAAAAAATTTAGAAAAAGGATTTTTTTTATAACACTAAAAAATATGTAGGACTAATTGATGTAAGTGTTTTGTTTTGGGACTAAATGAGTTTTAAACTTTGTATATAAGACCTATCAATAAATGCCTCAAATAAATTTAAGTCTCGGACTCTATTTTTTTAACTTAGGGTGGTTTGGTATGATTTAAATAAGTACACTGTTTGACTTTTTATGAAATATGGGTTGGGTATAAATTGGGTTTTGAAGTGATGTGATAGAGAGATAATGTGACTTAAATAAGATGATGTGACGTATAAGCTAGTATATAAATTATTAAAGGATCAATTTAATTTTTTTCATAAATAATTTCCACACAAAAATTTATAAAATCAACATGTTAATCACAGTGAAGTTCATGATGAATCTCAAGGGTCCAATTGACCTGTCTAATCCAACAAGTTTACTTTTTTATCTACAATTCTTTGGGTACAAATGAGGGATAGTTTCATATTTTATATCTATTATATTATGTAAAATGTATATATTTTTTTCTTTTGAAGATAGAAAAAAAATTTATTATAGAATATGGAGGGATACAAGTCACACTTGTATCTCTACAACTTTTTATTTACACTTTATCACAGCTTTACTTACACCCCAAATAAACCCAAACCAAACCAAATCAAGCCTTAAGTCCCATCAAATGGGGTCGGCACTTACACCCCAAATATTTTTAAAAAAAATTTCCTTCGTCCAACTGTGATGTAATTCTCCCTCTTCCTTTTTCAAGAACATTACCTACTGTGAATCCCAAAATAGTTCCTCACATGGACTGTTGTTGAGATTCAGCGAAGATTGTTCCATAAACTTGCAAGAGATAAATATGATTGATACCACCCAACCGGAATTACTGGCCGGGGACACTCCGATTGTGATACCCCTGTCCCGTAGTATGCTAATTGGTCCATAGATTGAGTATGATTATGTGTTTAATATAATTTTATGTGCCATTGTGTGAAAATATGTGGTTTTGAATTTCTATCTGTTCACCGTAGGAATATCTGTTTGACTATCTGCTTTGAAAATTAAATTGGAGGCCTCATCGGCCACAGAACCCGAAATTGATTTCGCCATTGTGATTGGCATAATTTTTAGAGCCTACGGTGAAATTTAATCGAAAAGTTGATTCGGACCAGATTAAGTTGATTAAATTGGTGAATTAGTGCCCAATTATTCTTATTATTAAATTATGGCTAGTGGGAATTTATGAAAAAAGGCACTACACACTCAAATGCCTCTTTCATTTTCATTTTGGCTGGTCTTGACTTCAAGAGATAGAGAAAATCGGACTAGAGAGAGGGAAAGTGTAGGAGAATCAAAGTTTGCTCTTGAGGTTTGGGAGCTTTGAAGTCTAACTCAAGAATTAACCTTAATTTGGGAGGACTAAGGCTCCTAGGTGAGTGAACTTGTGCATCTTAGTTTGTAATCTTTGTGAATTCTAGCTGAATGTTGATAAGGAACATAAATAAATTGCTCATGATGAAATCAAGTTGGTTTTGTTGATTTGGTAGTCTATATGCACATGCATGTGAGGAAGTACTTTGAAATTGCATGTTTGAGCATAAAAATGTATAATCCATGTGCAATTTTAAATGAAACTCATGTTTTGATCACCTCTTCGCCAATTAAGTTGTAAATGATGAGCATCTCCCACATGCATTTACAAATAATGGGGGTGTAAGGCTTGATTGTTTGGATTTGAGCATGTTGGTGTTGAGTTTGAGTTAGTTTGAGTCATGGATGTGATTAAATTGTGAAATTGAGCTCCATTGTGATGTAATTTGGTGTTTGTACCATGTTAGTACATAAATATATAAAGTTTGAGCCAAAAATCATGAATCAAGACCTTTGACATCGAATTTGAACTCCAAGAACAGTTCTGGAATTTCCAGAAAGTTTGATTACCGCTCGAGCGTGAATTTCGTGCTCCCAGCACTTTTTGCAGACATGGTGTCCGCTCGAGTGAGGGAGTTCACGCTCGAGCATGAAGCCATGTAAAGAGACCTTCCGCTAGAGCGCCATAGTTCATGATCGAGCGTAATTTTGATGCATCCAGTACTTTTGCAGGCCTTAAGGGTCCGCTCGAGCGGGTAAGTCCACGCTCGAGCAGGGACCCTGTTTTCTGAAATTTTGAAAATGCATTATGTGTTCTGTTTTCTGTTCCCTTTCACTTCTAAACACTCTTAGGCATATATTGAGCATTGTAATTGAATTAAAGAGATATGAATGAAGCCTAAAGAGGAAAATGTGAATTTTGAATGGATTGAATTGTTAGTGACCCTTTTATGTTCATGGCATGTGTAAGGTCGAGTTCCAGGGTGAACCAATCAACCGATCACTGTGAGTAATATCTGACATATGTTATTGTCTAATTGCTACTTCTGTGTAAATTTTGTAAAGTTCATTAATTTGAATGGTGGACATAGTTGGATTTGAAAGTCTGAAAGGCCTATGCGCCAACTTGATATGAAAGTTTGAAAGGCCTATGAGCCAGTTTGATCTGAAAGTCTGAAAGGCCTATGAGCCAGTTTGATCTGAAAGTCTGAAAGGCCTATGAGCCAGTTTGATATGAAAGTCTGAAAGGCCTATGCGCCAGTTTGATATGAAAGTTTGAAAGGCCTATGAGCCAGTTTGATATGAAAGTTTGAAAAGGCCAAAGGCCAATTGACATGAATGAAATGGGGCCCAAGGTCGTCTGTTGTATAATGTATCAATGCCTTTCCCTTACTTGGTATTATTCACTAGGCTTTCGCTCATGCTCATTCATGTGTTTGTAGGTGAGCCAAGAGAGGTCCAGACCCAGCCCTAGTAAAGCCTAAGCAGATCAACATAGGTTTTGGAAAGTCAGCCCTCGTGTCTCACGCACGAGACCCATCTTCGCCCTTTTGTTATGTATTTATATTTTGTCATGTTGGCGAAGTTTTGTATATGTCTGTATATAGTTCCATGGGTTGACTTAGTTTTGGATGATCCTGTCTGAACAAAATTTTGTAGCACTGTATTTCTGTTGTGAGTTATTAATATATATATATATATATATGTATGGTTTGTTTTGATGTGCCATGTAAGCACAGCTCTATGGACAAAGTTTTGAATTGCTTCCGTTTGGCCCCCATTAACTCTGTTAAAATACGTTTGGTTTGGTTTGAGGCCGTAGGTAATCTCATGATTACTGGCCGGTTATGTCCTTAACCCACGGGGGCGGGTTCGGGTCATGACACCGATGATGAAGTTAGAATCCATGAATGAAAAATATAGATCAAGAATTGTAAAGAGTGTTGTTGTGTGTGAAGTGTAGAGGAAAAGGCAAACCTCCTCTTTTAGGATGCCCCCATGTGGCTTGTTTTTCGTGCTCCTTTCGAATACGAATAACCCCACAGTTTGGACTCCCGTGGTTCTAAATCTGATTTCACAAAGTGCAATGTGAAATAGTGAAAACACAAAAGAATCCAAATCCGGCAATTCTTTTTGAAAAATCGATGTTTGAATCAAATGCTAAAAATGGACTGTTTTGCCAGATTACAGAGTCGCCACCTAAATATTTTTGAAAAATTTAGGAAATCCAAGACTCGTGCCAAAAGCCATTAGTCCGTTATCACCAAAGTGTCTCGGCTCGGGAACTTAGGTACGAGAGGGGAAGGTCATGAATTGAGCACCC